CAGGTGACAGCAGGGCCTTCTGAATAGCACCAGAACCAGCCTGGCGACTTGGGGAGGGAAGTGGGTTAAGGAGACAGACCAGTGAAGTCCAGTTGTTGCCAGGTGAGTTTGGTGGAGAATAAGCAAGAAATTCTATTTGAAAAGAGCCACAATAAAGAGCGCTTGTACCTGATTATATGGGAGCTAAGGAAAGGGGGCCCAAGTCAGCATGCAGGTGTCCTGGAGTGCCTCCCAGGATAGGCACCTCTGACGTTTCTGAAGGCTACCGAGGAGTCCATTGTGAGCAAGGGCACATGAATATGCAGCCCGAAGTGGGTGAGTGATGGGTCTGGGTGTGGCCAGATCAGGGCACCAACAGCCCGAGCTCCTGCCGATACATACCGACGGGCAAATCCCACCGCACTGAGGCCAGTCTGGAGGAGCGGGAAGTCCAGTCACATCATCATACCGTGCCCCTGGCACTTGGGCCTCTCGGCGACCAGGATGTAGGATCGAGGATGCCTCTTCCTCTGGGGGCCAGGCACACTCAGTCCAGGAAGGTTTGTTTCTGCAGCCTCTTGAGGTAGCCCGCCCCCAAAGAGTTTCACGTGTGGAGTGTGGAGTATCAGAGGGCGGGGGCAGCCTCCCCAGGCTTAGCCCTGAGGGCATGTTTTTCGAGTCCTCTGGAACATGGTCTTAACGACCCTTTAAATTACAACTCAGGACACCCCCATCCCTGGCAGAGGCAGTTCCCAAACAAAACCTACACTTGCTTGTGCAAAGCACTGATGTTCTTGTAAATGTTGGTCTTGACCAATTTTGTGACCCATGAGTGGGTTATACCTGCATCTCAGAAACACTGTTCTGAAAAGCGATCTGTTCCCCTGTGGAAAGGTGGGTGCGCCAATGCCAGTTCCCTGAAGAAAAGCTGAAGCGAACCCCTCAGCCCGGCCCTGGTGAAGGTCAGCGATGGGGTGGGCCCAGCCAGGTGCCGGGGCCGTCTGTGAGGGCGAGGAGGGGTGCTGGAGGGCCTCGGGACAACGTGAGCCCCACAAGGTCCCAGGAGGGAGGACGCATGAAGGCTGGGAGTCGCAGAGGGCTGAGTTCAAATCCAACATCCATTAGTTTGCAGTGTGAGCTTGGATAAGTAATTTAACCTGGATCTTAGGCCCCTAGTTTGTAACCCGGAGATAAGTATTCCCTCCCTCGAAGAGCTGCTGGAAGGACTCAGAATTGAATCCTGATGTCCCCAGCAGAGCTCTGGAGTATCTGAGGAGCAGACAGAGCAGTCTGGGAGATGGCGTAGGGACTGCACGCCCTTGAATTAGCCTTGACTTCCAAAAATCGAGCTTTGCCTACGGTTTCTCTGTCTTGCCTGAGACTGGGGACACTGCACGCACCGGTCGCCATTCCTGCTCCCTCCCTCCCAGCGCCCCCACCAAGCTTGCGGGTCCTGAGTCACCTGGTTTCTGGTCCCATCCCACCCACCAGCTCCAGCCAAGCGGTCACCATGCGGTCCCCTGGGCCCTCCACCCCCCTCCCCAACCCCCCCCAGCCCTGCGTCCCTTGAGGGCAAAGGGGGAACCAGCCTCTACCTGGCCTCCAGTGCCCAGTAAGGTGTCCTGCGTGTGTTGATGGCTGGGGGCGGGTAACCCCCCCCAAACACACACACACACACAGACGCCCCCAGCCTCAGCAAACTTCCAGCTGCAGTCACCCTGCAGCTCTAAGCGAGCCCGCGCCAGGCAGGGCATTGCGCCTGGAGCCCCGTCTCCCGCCCGGACCCCCAACGAGGCCAGGAGGGACAGCACGGGGACCAGGGACCACGGCGGAAGAGCGGGAGGTACGCGAGAGAGGCCGTGAGGCGGGCGAGGAGGGCACCTCCCCGGGCAGCCAGGTGGCAGGGAGGGAGCACGGAGGGGGAGCCGGCCGTCTGCGAACTGTTGGGACCCGCAGGGCTTGGAGGCCACACGCACCTCTGAGCAGAGAACCCTGGCAGGGAGGGCGCGGGGCGGTTGCCCGCGCGCAGTGGCCTCCTGGTCGCTCGCCAGCGACCGGGTTCCATCCGTCCCCGATCCCAGGGCTCCTGGAGCAGGCCGCGCCCTGCGAGATGTGCACTCGCCCCCCTACGGGCCCCTTGGCCACGGGACGAGGTGCCCAGAGGAAACGCTGTGACAGGCGATGGCGGGAGCCGGCCGGCCCATGACAGCGCTTCCCTCCCAGGCCAGCACACCCCGTGGCTTCGGCTTCTCCCCTTGATCCCCATGAAGGAGCATGTCACCCTAAGGATGTTGTCATGTGTGAGGCCCAAGTTGGAGCCTCTTTCTGTTCCGTGTAGTCCCAGCGTCTGCTGCCTTCTGGGGAGCGAGCTCCGGACACAGACTACCAGTCACCTGCCAGCAGCGGGGACATAGGTCAGACACAGGAAAAGACCACTCCTTTGCACGTGCTATTTTGTGTCCTTTCCCTCATCCTTCCTGTAAGTTCCTACTCATGTTACAAAACCCTGCATGGGTGCCCTTCCTGGGTAAGCCTCGCTACCCCGCAGGTGGCTGATCACCCCAGGCTGCGTCAGGGGTCAGCCTCACCTCAGCTGCCCACACCAGGCCTAGTGTTTGCATCTACCCTAGACGGCGGCCACTGGAGGCCGTTTTCTCATCATCCTGAGCAACTGTTGTCCTAGGGCCTGGCGCCTAGTTAATGCACTTGGTTCCAAGAAGGAACATTCTGCTGCTTGTGTGGGTGACACAGGCTGACCTGGCGAGCAGCTCCCCAGACAGAGCAGATGGGGACGGTCAGACAGGGGTCCAGAGGAATCCAAGTGCCCTCCCACCCACACAGTTCAGGGCCCCTGGCACTACTTTAGTCAAGAAGTGCACATCTACTTCCCACACGGTCCAGAGTGTCTACTCCCCTCTTCAAGGCCTTCCCGGAGTGGGGGTGTGTGTGGGAGGGGTAGCAGGGGGAGGAGTGGGCCTTCATCAGAGATCCCAGGTCTGAACGTCCCGTCGTTGTGTAAAGGATCTCCATCTGTGTAAAGGAAGAGGACACAGAGCATATCTGGCAGGTCTGTTTTTTAAGAACTGAGTAGGATGTGTTGAGAGCCTGGCCCTGTCCCCAGGAAGTAATAGAAGCAGCAGCTCAGGATTCCTTAGAGAACTTCCTGGGCCTCGACTCAGCTGGAATTCTCTTCTTCCCTTTCTTCCCAGCTGGAGCCGGAAGGGCATGCTGTCCGCGATCACCATACAGAGAAAAGAGAAGTGCCTTCGTCCCTAGAAGCTTTAATTCAACATGAAACTTCATGACCTCCAGGCCAGAAATTGGGGTACAGGAGCTGCCAGTGTTTCCCCATGACTGTAGTTTCTGACATGGGGCCATTCCCAAGTTTTGGGGGCCAGGTTGCTCTCTGAGCTGTCCCAGCACCCTCTTCACATCCTGCAGGCCCCTGTCTGCTGGCTCCCCGGCTCCCCTGCTGGAGCCTCCCCGTTCTTCCTGCACACCTGCCTCCCCACCTCCCCGCCTCAGTCTCCCCATTCTATAGTGCGGAGGGGCTCTGGGAGCACGCCTCAACCCCTAGCCTCCAGGGGGCAGTAAAGAGGGGTTTTAACTGGCTCCTGCAGGTTAGGCCTGCAGCAAGATCACTCACAGCACACTCCACAGGATTGTCTGCCTCCTCCCTCATCACCTTTCCCTCAGGCCACATGCGCCTTTCAGTGACCTTGCCCACTGAGAGCTGCTATGACACTCATTTTAGCAAAGGCTGTGTGTTTTACCAACAGCCCTGAAGCTGCCCTCTGCAATCCCTGCCCACCCTCACCCCCCAGTATCACCTACCCAAAGCCCCTAGCTCCATTTCGTCTTCTCAGAAATGTACCTTGCCCAAGGCTCCTCTCCCAGCCGAAGGACTATCTCTGGAAGCTTCTGCATCTACCTTGGCTGTCACCCCAACCCCAGGGGACAACGCCGGCCTTCCCCTCTGGCAGGCCCAACACAGCTCACTGCTGTGCCCGTGTCCTCCCTCCCTCTTCCCCCACCCCAGGCCCCTACTCTAGGCCATTCAAGGTCAAGTGAGCATCCAGCCCAGAATTTAGAGACTCAGAGCAAGAGAAGCTTCAGCTTTGCTTTTTAATAATTTAAGACTGACGCACAGCCATCTACTCCCAGAGAGTCCCAACCCTTTGGGCCGAGAGCTGGGAAGCACCCAGGTGGAGAGCCCATCCCCCTGCCGGTACATTGTCATTGCACTCCCTGCCGGCCCACCCAAGAGGCCACCAGGGAATCTGGGCAGAGAGCAGCATGTGGCTGGGGACACCCTGGCACCAGCTGCAGCTGGAGTCCACACTCCACCAGAGAAGGCAGGCAGGCCCTGCTCGCCAGCACCCGCCCTGGGCAGAGGCAGAGGGCAGGGGGCTGTAGGGAGCGGCTGGCCAGACCTACTGGCCACAGCTGCCGTTCCCTGACCTTGGTCTCTGGTTCATTTTTTCCCCCTTAACTTTATATAACACAAAAATTTCCCAGAGATTCTTAATATTCTGGCTACCAGATAAGCTCTCGTGCCAGACCACATGTTCCAATTTTGGGTTTGGAATATATGGCCAATGGCTGTAAGGCTGTTACATTAGGACATTTAACCCATTTCTGGAAAAAGAGCCAAGTGTCAAATGGGACATGGAGAACTTGAGACTTTAAAGGCAGGTTCACGGCCAATAGGGCCAAGCACTTTCTTTGGTTCTGGAGTGTAGAGGCTGGGAGAGCCCCTGCTCGGGAGTGGGATGAGACTTGGGAGTAAGGAGACAATTGGGGGCTCACCCAAGTACCCCTGAATCTCTCTCCTCCTCCTGCCAACAAAGGTACAGAAGGACACTGACACCACTCCCGGCATGGAAGGAGAGCCATGTTTTCTGTCCCCAGTTCAGCATCAATTAACATCCTTAAACAGAACACACCATCCCGCCCTCCCCCCAAGGTGCTCGATCCCAGCGGCCCCACCACAGCCAAGGGGCTACACGCCACCATGACCTGTTTTCCGTCCACGAAGCAGCTTCATGCAGTGCATTTCCAGCCATCCTTCCTGGGGTAGGTCAGGGCAGCCGAGGGGGCGACAGTGAGGGCAAGAGCAGCCCTGGGTCACCGAGGGAAAGGTCTGTGCCTCAGCACACGGACTGACAAGCTCTCTGCGTGGGCCAGGAGCTCCTTAACGTGAGCCAAGCCCAGCCCTGCAACCTTGGCCCCATTCACCTCGAGGATCTCATCCCCTACCCCCAGCAGTCCCGAGTACAGCTTGGCCATGCTCGCATCAGCCATCTCCTGCACGTAGAACCCTGCAAAGGAAAACAGAACAACTGAGCACATGAAATCCAAAGAGGCAGCTCTGTGGGACCCTGACCAGGTGGGCGCTGTCCCAGGCGGGGGTTGCGGGGCGGGGTGCAGGTGCTCATACAGCGCACTGCTCCATGCATGCACACGTGCACACACACACGTACACACCCTCATTAGTCTACCTCACAACCACAACTGGCTTTCTACATAGATACAGTGTGAAATGATACCTGAGGGTAACATTTCATTTTTCTCTTTTAAAAAGCTGCACAAATAAGGCTTTAATGAAAGAACACTTTCAGCAAATAATGCTTTAAGCTGTTATTATTTGTGTATACCCCAGTGTGAATGAGGTAATCTCACATTTTCCTGAGGTGAGCTTTGATTGTAGACTAGGAAGGAAACTGATGTTTAAAAGTTAAGAAAAAGACCAACTTCACTCCCGCCACTGGTTGGGGTTCACAAACACCATCCAGTCGCTGCTTTCAGGTAGGTGGGGCCATGGGAAGGTATCACTGGAGTAAGGAACGTGGCTGAGGTCAACCCCAAACCTGGCTTGCTTCGTATTCCTGTTAGGACCAGCCTTGGCCTCAGTTTTCCTCAGAGTGATTCCTCTCTGGGATTTGGAAGCACCTGGGCAAAAGCCCAGGAAACATAGAAATTCCACCCCCTACTTAAAAAAAACATGCTGGCTCATTTGTCCCTTATTCACACACATCTTGTGCCCCACACTGCCCCTAGGAAGGCCCTGCCTGGCCTGTGTGACCATCCCTGGGTCTCTTGGGTGCAGAGTGAGTCTAGGCAGAGCCCACTTCTTCCCCTTTCCCTGCGTCTGACTCGGGGAGCCCACATCAGAGGAGCAGGCTCTGTGGGGCCTTGAGGCTGGCGAGCCTGAGCTCCCTGGGACTCTCCTGGGTGCACAGTGCAAGCCAGTCCTGCTGAGGGACCCCTCTCACCTCGACTTCCTCTGAAAACCTTCCAGACTCCCCTTCAGTTAAGAGAGTGAAGAGTCTTACGGGGAAAGCTGGGCACCAGCCCGCACCCCCTCACACACTGAACGAACATGGGTGATCTGAGAGCACAAGGCCAGGCTGTGCAGAATTCGGGGGGGGGTCACTCAGCGCTGCCTGAGACGACCTCGCAGCTCCCCAGCCCAGGCCGCACACTCCACTCTACTTCTGCGTCCTAGTATCCGCTTCCTTAGAAAGGGCCTGCAGGGCCTCTCCTCTGGTAGCTCGGTCTCCGGCCTGAGGGCATTTAACACACTTGAACCATAGTGGGATGTCCTGCCTCTACTCCCACCACCCCCGCCACCGGCCCCACACGAGCTTTGTTCGGCCCAGCTTCCAGCAAGCCTTGCAGAGCCACCCTCTGAAATGGGGGTCTGGAAGCACTGAACTCTCCCTCAAGGCACCTGAAGGTCAGTCGCTCGGAGTCCAGCCAAAGCAGCCTCTGACACAGCCCGTCCCGGGTCTGACTTGTGGAACTCTCTCTCAGCGCGGGGGCTTCTCAGCCAAGCCGAGCCTTGGCCTCCAGGCTGCCTCCCTCCTGATGAGGGACGCCGACCATCTCAGGGGCTCAAGGCCTTTCTCTCAACCCCTGGCCTCTCTCTGACCCCTTCCGTCCGGGGGCTCTAACCGCTTACTTGTCCTGTCTGCATGTTGGTGGCAGGGAGAGAGGGCAGGTAAGGAGGGGAGAGGGGGGCCTACAGAAACAGCCGCTGTAAGCAGGAGGTGCATGTGGGGAGCCATGAGAAACCCCAAAAGCATGTAGCCAGGGCTGGACCAGACTCTGATGTCGTGCCACTCATTCTGGGGAGACTCTGGGGTAGGCTTCACCACAGAACGTCATGACAAAAATAGGACGGAGAGATGGCTGTCGTAGGTATTTATTGTTTGCTGGAAATGGCCTCTGTTAGGCACGTCTGATCTCTCTGTGGCACTCAGAAGTGGGAGGCCAAGCCTGCTGTTCTCATGTGCTCTCCGGTGTGACAGCCAGCAAGTTCACCCCAGCACCTTGATGTTTTGGCGAGGAATGCGGACCGGCCCCAGCTCACGGCCCCCCTGAGGCGCAGCAGAAGCGACCCCCAGCAATCAGAGGACAGTCTGTGGCCCGCAGGTACCAGCACCAGTCGCGTCCCGTGTGCCTGGGGGTCTCTGTGAGATGTCCAATGGCCAACAGCAGCAGCAGGAGCAGGGCACCCCCTGGGAGGACAGGGAAGAGCTCGTACCAACCCAGGTGAGGGGTTCCCGGGGGGTGGGCCAAGGCAGAGCCCAAGGAGCCCTGGTCACTAGAGACCCCTGCCCAGCAGACGTCAACTCCATGACCGTCTGCAACGCGGCCCAGCAGGACTCCGGGGGAGGCTGAAGGGCGGAGCATACTGCCTGGGTGTGTGTGACCTCACACGGAGAGACGGGGCAGATCATGGAAGTCCCTGGTGGAGTTCTGCTTCCCAAATACAAATGCCCTTTGTGAAGAGGGAAGGGAAGAAAAGTGCCAGGCACTGTCCCATGGACCTCACGGGAAGCTCCTGACTCTTCCAGGCAGGTCTGAGCATATCTTCAGCTTAGAGACGGGAGAACTGAGGCTCAGAGAGGGTAAGTAACCTGCTGGGGCCACACAGCAGAGCAGAGGTTCTGGAGTACAAACCGTGCCACGTCACCTACCTCTCTGCCCCTCTGAAAGGCCTGCCGCCCCTCACCTGAGGAAAGGGGAGGTGGAGTGGCTAACAACCTGCTAGCGCTTTGGGAAGACCAGCCCAGCTTCACAAACGCCATCTGCCTGTGAGGACAGATGCCGTACCCGCCCTGAGGTCCAGCGTGGGGGTAGCTCATCCTCTTCCTCTCATGCTCAGGTAAGATCCATCAGCAAACTGAGTCACACCGCCTTCAAGTCTAGCCCTTCCCACATCCCCACCGCCTCCCCAGCCCCAGCCACCACTGTCAAGTCTTTCCACCAAAGTATCTTTACAAAGGGTCTCTCTGGTCCACCTTTGGCTCGCTAGCGTCTGTTCGAGGTCTAGCCGCCGGGCAGCGACACGGTTCCAGGCGCAAATCAGAGCACGATGGTGGGGCTCCAAGTCCCGGAGCCTTCCAGCTCAGTGGGGGAGTGGGGGGGATGGGGGGGATGGGGGGGAGGGAGCCAACGCCCTCCCAGGCTCAGCCTCTCTCCCCCTTGCTGCTTTGCTGCTCTGTGCAGATCCCTCCAGCCTCCGCCTGGACGGCTCTTCCTCTGCACACACAAACCGCTCCTCCCTGCGCCCCCCACCCCACCCCACCCCCGTTTGCTCCAGCATCCTCCGCTGGGACAGGCTGCCCCACCCGCACACCTGTCCTCCCACACTCCAGCCCTTACCCGGCTTTGCCTGGATTTGTGTCTTCAAACTCTCTGCTAACTGGCACCTCATTTGGAGAATATATAAACGTGTATACTTTTTTGTAGGTACAGCTGCCTCCCTCCCTGGAACGTGGGCTCCTGAGGACGGGGTCTTTTTCTGTTCCGTTCCTGCCCTACCCTGTATCTGGAACACCTGGCTTGGGCTCAGTGCAAACGTGTTGAAACAATGAAGGATGGAGGAGAGGTAAGAGCTCGCTGTGTCTGCAAACCTGGCAGCAGAGGCAGATTTTTTTTTCCAGGTGACATGACTTTGACCGAGGCGGTCACTCAGCAGAGCGCAGCCAGGGCCGGATCCCTGAGAACGTCGCCCTCTGGGGCCAGCGCTGCGGGAGGGGCTCAGACGCCCAGCCAGGCGGGCGCGCTCCACATGCCCCGACACACTCAGCCGCAGGAGGAAGGAGCCATTACACACATCAGCCACATCAAAGGGCTCCCGAGACCCAACAAGCACCGTCTCCCTTGGGCGCTCCAGCAAAAAACCTTCAAGGTTCCGGTTTCAGGATGTCAGCGGACAGTACAAGGGCAGCGGAGTCTGCCTCGCCCTCCCTACCCACCCCAGCAGCCCCGCACCTGACTCTTCCCAAAGACCCCCTGAAGGGAGAATTCCAGCTCTTTGGCTATGAGCCTGTCTGAGTCTGGAGCTCCACGTCTCAGCCACATTCTGGAAATGCCCACAGCCAAAAGTGATTTGCTAAGGCCCCAGGGATGTGGAGCCCAGAGAGGGGCCATACCTGCGTCGCGGCGCCCTTCCCCGGAGGCCACGCAGAAGCCAAAAGAGCCCTCCGGGGAGCGTTGTAGCTGCAGCTGGGTTGTGCCATCTGGGAACACCTCCACCACACGGCCCACCGTGCGCGCCTGGCTGGGGGTGCTCACGTCCTCCACACTGAGGGCACGCCGGGGTGAGGCCTTGGCTGCTCTGCCAGGGGACCAGAGACACAGTGAGTGCAGAGAGGGCTGGGCCCTGGGGCCCAATCACTCCCCACCTTAAAGATGACAGACACCTCTTCTCTCTGAGGCTCCGCAAAGCCCGCTCTGAGCCACAGGCCCCCTACTTCCCCCTTCCCACCCCCTCCACACAATTTTAGATCTTTGTGGGTGCACAGACCTCTCTGAGAATCTAACAAAAGCTATAATGTTACAGAACATTTCCAGGAGGGAACAGCCCACTTGAAGTGCTGCCATGGAGCCGCAGGGAAGAGCAGCTACCCCAGAGGGTCCTGTCAGGGGGGTGGGAGTCCTCTAGACAGGGACACAAGTCAGGTGCCTCTTTGGGGACCCTGTCTCTGGATCTCTAATCAGATCTTCAGCTGGGCTCAGGAAGCTCTCTGAACATTCTAGTTTTAGCATATCATCAGACAGCAGAGGGATGGAGGAATCAAACCTTCCAACTCCCCCCATTCCACCAACTCCACACCTTTTCAGAGCTCAGGTGCACAGGGCAAGGCTCTGAGGTGTGGGCTCCAAGACTCCCATGGCACCTGATGAAGGACCGAGTTAAGCTTACCCCTCTACTGACCACGCTCTGGATTTACCCCCCATGCCACTTGCCCACTCTTACCGGCCAGCTGCACTGTAGTCCCCTGGCTCCCCTACCACGTAGAGGCTGGACCGGTCTCCCTTGCCACTCAGCAGAGAATGGAGGTTCTGAAAGGAGGCAGCTTTCCGATGTTGGTGGGACGGCGACACCTGGTGGTAAGAGTCCAATATTGCAGGTAAGAAAAGCCATGGGGCCAGGGGTTGGCAGAGACCTGACCCCAACCATGAACTCAGTCGAGGGTTTTTTATGAAAGTGGGGATACAAGCTTTTGTCACTACCTCAAAGTGCCCGTCTGGAATCACCATAATTTACTCAAGTAGATGGGTCTATACAGGTGATCTGAAGGTTCAATTTTTTTTTTTTTTGGCCAAAAAACTTAGCGCTAGGATACTAATAATTTCATTTATAAAGAAAATCTAATTTTCTCATTAAGAAATAAGAATGAAAGCAAATTAATTGAAGAATAATAAACATGGCTTTAGAGTTAAAATATTAACACTTTGTGATTCTTTAGTATCGCTTTTATGATTGTTTACATTAAAAATTTTTTATCTGAGGATTTCCAGGAAAGATGGCTGAGTACAACAATCCTAAGCTCACCTTGTCCCATAGATACAATGAGATAACATGCATATCAGTGTAAGTAACCCATAAAACAACCCAAAGACTGGCAGAACAGACTCTCTGCACCTGAACGTAGAGAAGAGTCCACATTGAAGAGGGTAGGAGGGGCAAAGACTGGGAGCTAACTGGACCTGACGGACCATCGGAGGGAGGGAGAGACACTGGGGTGCAGAGAGAGGAGAGGACCAACCCTTCGCACCAGGCATACCAGGCATGAGGAACCTGACATGGAAGATGAACCCTCATAACACCTGGCTTTGAAAACCAGAGAGGCCCGGGACGCCTGGGCGGCTCAGTCAGTTAAGCCTCTGCCTTTGGCTCAGGTTATAATCCCAGGGTCCTGGGATCCAGTCCCGCATCAGGCTCCCTGCTTGGCTGGGAGTCTGCTTCTCCCTCTGCCTGCCAGTCCCCTTGCTTTGTGTGCTCTCTCACTCTCTATCTGACAAATAAATAAATAAAGTCTTTTAAACAAAAAAAGAAAAGAAAAGAAATTTTTAAAAAAGACAAAGAAAACCAGAGAGGCTTCATTTCAGGAGTTCTTAAAATCAATGGGGCTTAACACCGGAACTTTAAAAATCAGTGGCCTTGGCTCTGGGAGACCTGGCGAGATGATAGGAAACTGAATCCCTGAGCTTAAAGAGATAGCACAACAAAGGGCCCCACGGAGATACAGCAGAGAGAAGCAGTATGAAAAACAACTGGGATATATGGGAGGGAGATTTGTTTACTAATAGAGCCTGTGCTGGAAGGGCAGGGATCTTTGGGAGACTTTTCTAGGATCAAAGGAGCTGGTAGGCACCTCCCCTGCCCCTCAGCCTAGACACATGGATAGCTAGGGAAACAAGCACAGCACCAACACTTATCACCTAACTTGCTAAGAGCATGGCCCATACCCTCATTCTCTTGTGCATGTGGCCCCTCCAATATGCCCTTGGCCAGAGCCCATTCAAAGTGGTGCCACAAGCCTGAGTGCGCCAAGAAGCCCCAACAGTGATTCCTGCTCTGAAGAGAGGGGATGATGACCATAAACATCAGTCTGAGACTGTGGCCCCAGCAGGGGGCTGGGGGCAGACATCCAATCTGACTGCAGGCCCTGCCTACCAACAAAAACTTCTTGGGGAGCAACATAGAGAAAACATCCTGTAGTTCAATACTACTGCATCTCTGGCAAACTCCTGGTCTGAGTCAAATCTAAGACAGCCCAACAGTAGCCCATTAACATCACAGGGACCAAACATTGCCTGTAAAAGGCAAAGAGAGCCACTGCAGATGACTAGACTGAAGGCACAACAGCAAATAACATACAACACACATACGGGACACGACTCAAGCGCCAGGTTCTGATGAACAGAGCACACTGCCTTGCAGGGCATGACAGGAGCTCTTGCTCATAAGGCCACTATTTTCAAGAGGAGACATAGCTGATTTCCCTAACACATAGAAACAGACACAGAGTTAGACAAAATGAGAAGACAGAGGAATATGTCCCAAATGAAAGAACAGGACAAAATCAGAGCAAGAGAGCTAAATGAAACAGGGATAAGCAATATGCCTGACAGAGAATTTAAAGTAATGGTCAGGGGCACCTGGGTGGATCAGTTGGTTAAGCATCAGACTCTTGATTTCAGCTCAGGTCATGATCTCCAGGTTGTGAAATCAAGCCCCATGTCAGGCTCCACTTTGGGCATGGAGCCTACTTTGGATTCTCTCTCTCCCTCTCCCTCTGTCCCTCCTGCCCCCTTTCTCTCCCTCTCTGTAATAATAATAATAATATAAATAATGGTCATAAAGATATTCACTGGACTTGAGAAAAGAGTGGAGGGTCTCAGTGAGACCCTTACCAAAGCATGAAAAAGAACTAATCAGAGATAAAGAACTCAAAAACTAAAATGAAAAATAATATACTAGATGGAATAACTAGTAGACTAGAGGAAGCAGAAAAATGGATCAGTGACCTGGAGATAGAGTATTGGACAGCAATCAAGCTGCAAAGCAGAAAGAAAAATAATAAGAAGAAATGAAAATGACTTAGGGAACTCAGTGACATCATCAAGCATAAAAACATTCTTGTTATAGGGATCCCAGAAGGAAAAGAGAGAGAAAAGGGGGGCAGAAAACTTACTGAATCTGGAGAAGGAAACAGAGATCCAGAGCCAGGAGGCATAACGAGCCCTGAACAAAATCAATCCAAGGAAGTCCACACTAAGATATATAGTAACTAAAAAGGTAAAAACTAGTGACAAAGAGAATTTTAAAAGCAGCAAAAGAGAACAGTTACATACAAGGGAAACCCCATAAGGCCATCAGCTGATTTTTCAGCAAAAATTTTATAGGCCAGAAGGGAGGGGCATGATACATCCAAAGGAAGAAAACCTGCAGCCAAGAGTACTCTATCCAGCAAGGCTGTCATTCAGAATAGGAGAGATAAAGAGCTTCTGAGCCAAAAGTTAAAGGAATTCATGACCACTAAGCCAGCCATTGAAGAAATATTGAAGGGAACTTTTTGAATGGAAAGGAAAGACCATAAGTATGAGTAAGAAAATTAGGAAGCCCAAAGGCAGTAAAGTCAAGTACATCTATAAAAATGAGTCAAAGGATTCACAAAGTAAAAAAAAAAAAAAAAATGTAAAGTAGGACACCATATACTTAAAATGTGGGGAGGAGAGGAGTAAAGAATGGGTTTGAACTGAAGTGACCATCAACTTAATGTAGACTGTTATATGCAGAAGATGTAATTTATAAACCCAACACTAACCACAAATCAAGAGCCAGTCATAGGTACGCAAAAAAACAAAGAGAAAGGAATCCAAGTATATCACTAAAGAAAGCCAACGAACTGTGAGAGAAAAGAGCAAGAGAGGAAAGGAACAGAAAAGAACTACAAAAACAACCATAAAACAAGTAACACGATGGCAATAAGTACATGTGTATCAATAATTACTTTGACTATAAATGGACTAAATGCTCCAATTAAAAGACACAAGCTGGTGGGATGGAGAAAAAGCAAGACCCACTGCCTACAAGAGATTCATTTCAGACCGAAGGACACATGCAGGTTGAAAGCGAGGGGATGGAGAAACACTTGTCAAGTAAAAAGATATGAAAAGAAAGCCAGGGTAGCCATACTTATATTGGACAAAATATACTTTAAAACAAAGACTGTAACAAGAGACAAAGGATACTATATAATCATTAAGGGGACAATCCAATAAGAAGATACAGCAATTGTCAGCATTTTCATATCAAGCCGCCACACCACTGCATCCGTGAGTGTCTGGGCTCCAGCTTGGTTTATGTGGGCATCCACTAGCCAGAGGTGTCCTGGGGTTTCAGAAAAGCCAGAGAGAGGATATTTTGGGGGTCTGAGAGTGTTCAAAAATTTTTCCATATTAATTAACGGTGACTGCTTCTTCAATTTATACCATTTTGGCTTATGGACGTTTTTGTAGGAACTCTCTAATTTTGGACACAAGGAGAACCTATATCAGGAATATAAAGATCAAGGGGTGTTTCCTCAAAGAATTCACACTCCAGTGAGGGGAGGCAGACAAAAATCCATTAAAATACTACATGGCAAGTTCCCTGAAAGAGGGAAGCACAGGATAGGATGGGAACATAGAGCAGAGCCCCCACCCCCCCTGCCCAGCTCAGCCCAAGAAAGGATTGGAAGCGGCTTCATGGAGGAGGCAATTTCTGAAAAGTTGCCAGATGAACAGACATTAGCAGGGAGAGAAGGTGCGAGAAACATTTCAGGTGATTCAAAGTCAGTGTGTGGCCTAATGACAGAGCAGCAAGGTCAAGGATAACAGAGAGGGCGTTAGAAGGAGAGTGAGGAGAGATGAAGGCAGATCACAGAAGCCCTCTGGCCATGTCAGGTGATCTGAACTTTACCGTGTGGGTGATAAGGGGCCAATGGCGGATGTTCGGCAAGGGGGTAGATAACCAGATCTGCGTATCAGAAGGACCACTGTGGAAACCAGGTGGAGAAAGACACCACAGGGATGCCAGTCGGGAGGCTCTCGCGCTAGTCTGGGTGTGAAGTGAGCTGGGCAGACTAACAGAGTCACTGTGGTCATGAAGAAGGTTCCAGAATGATCAGGCAGTAGACTCTAGGACTTGGCAGAGGCGTCAGAGTTGAGGGAGAGACAAAGGGAGGAAGAGAAGCTTAGGATGAACCCATCTGGGGTAGCTGCGTGGAAGAACAGAACCATGGGGTGCTGCCTACCCCGGCGGGGAGCCGGGTCTCGTGGATCAAGTGTGTGGAGGCCAGTAGCTTCCGTTTCTCCACCCGGGCTCTTCGGGGGGCATCCTCAGCCCTTCCCATCATGTCACCTTCCATTCCAGTGGCACTGGCGCCACTCAGCCCTTGGCTGGGCCCTTCAGACTCACCAGATGCAGGGACTGTAACGACGGGGCTTTCTTCACTCTGGGGGTGCTGGTGTGGGGCGCCGGGCCCAGCGCGGGGGGCTGCAGCTGCTCCACACTGTGGCTGCGGGCCTTGCCCAGCTTGGGCCTGACACCGTGGCCGAGGGCCTGGAAGAGCTTTTTCAGCCCCAGGGTGGAGGCCAGGCTGGTGCTGCTTTTCTTGCTGCTGTCAGAAGGGGCAGCGGAGCGCGGCCCAGGTCCTGCGCTCACCCCCGGGGGTGCTCTGCAATGCAAGGGTGGACGTGAAGCGGGCGGCAGGAGGCTGGGGGGAGGGTGGACTGTCCCTCCGGGTCCTGCGGGCCCCAGGACGGCCAGCCTTGGGGACGACATGACAGGTGGCTACAGAAACGCTGAGAGGACATCCGCAGGATGCTCTGCTTGGGCAGCTGTTCCCGACAAGAGCTCAGGCAAGACCCTGCGCCTCACCTCCAACTACGGGCTCACCCACCCATTCATTCAATTCATTCATTCAGCATTTCTTCAGAGCCTCTGTGCTTTCTAGAAACAACAGGGGTATGTGACACAGCACAAAGTCCTTACTCTCAGACTAGTAAATGAAGGGAAAAAACCCACAACAAGTATCGAGACATGCCAAGCCGAGAGAGAGGACGGCCAGCTCTTTCTGAGAAGATGGCATGGGGCTGGGAGCCGTACGGTAAGGGGGAGCCGTCCCGCCGAGGCCGCAGGGGAGAACCTGGGGCAGGGGGAGGCCACAGCTCCCCGGGCAGGAAGAGGCCCCATGTAGGCCACTAGTACCGGGTCGGAACCTGCAAGGCAGGCAGGTGGGCTGGATTCCACCAAGCACAGAAGCCAAGGATTCTATTCCAAGTGGGAGAGAAAAACCACTGGGGGTTTCCAGCAGGAAAATTGACATTATTTAGTGGCTGCTGTGCCAAGAAGGAATGTAGGAGCGACTGTTGAGGCAAGAGCCGCTGGGGCTGCTGGAGCTGTCAGAAAGAAGTCATGCAGCCCAGATGGGGAGAAAGCAGCTGGAGGGAAATGCCAGGGGGTCAGAGAGGCCGGGAGGAGGCGAGTGGGAATGAGCACCGTGTGGATGGTGAGTTTGCCAGAAAAAGGCCTGGGGAAGCAGTTCCGCCAGGGGCCTCTCAGACACCCTAGTGCAGAAGTCAGGGGAAAGCGGATATATGGGGCTGGGGTTCTGGAGAGCACAGGGCGCCAGAGATGGGGACCTGGCTCTCGGTCACCAGGAATGTGGTGTAGTGCAGGAAAGAACGTCGTGGCCACACCACTGGCTCACCAAGACTTCGGGGACTCGGGGCGAGGACTCAGCCCCTCCGCGTGGAAGGAGAGAATGAATGGAAAGGTGAATGCCAGGCTTGTTTCCAAGCCCTGAGTCAGAAACGAGCACTCCCACCAGGCCACCCTGCCTGGGGAGCACCCCGAGGGTCGGGACTGTCTGCTCAAGTGTGCCGAGCACAGTACCAGGAGCTTGAGGCCTGGGGAAAGAGGAAGCGCGTGCAACACACTCAGAGTGGTGGGGAAAGGAGTCTTACGGTGCCATGCCCAGAAGAAGCCTAGGAACCCTCTACGGATTTCGGAGTAGTGAGGCCAGTCATGCCACAGAGGGGGGGTCTCTTTCTCCACCCAGCCCCCCACCTCCCACAGTCATGGCCCTTGCTCCCGTCACTCACCGGGATAACACCTGCCCTCCAGGACTCATCTCTGGCCTCTGCAGACCTCCCTCTGGCTCCTGGCTGGACTCTGGCTCCTCCGAGGCCAGGGAGAGGGTGATGCTCACGGAGCTGACCGTGCCAGCAGCTGCGGAGTCGGGAAAGCCCTGCACTCCTCCTGCAACGACCACAGCCCTCCCGTGTCGCTGAGCCGTCCCCGAAGGTCATGGTCAGGAGAGGGGACATGCCCAATAAGAAAGGCGGGAGCCCCAAGAGAGAAGCAGAGGCAGTGGAGAGCCCCCCACACAGCAGGACGGGAATGAGGGGCTGCTTACTGCTATAGTTCCCCACCCGCAGCACCGCAACTGGTACACAGCCGGTGATTAATAAATGTACGATTAATAAAAGTATGATGAGGGGGCTGCTGGTGAGAAGTCATGCCCTTCCTATAACAAGAGACATGGTCGGGAATGGGGAAATTCTGCATTCCTGGGACGCAAACCACAGTCTTGTTGGTTGTGAGGTCTAACAGCTGTAATGATAGGCACCTTTCTGGAGCATGTCTGAGGTGCTCGGCAATGAATTAAACCCTCTACAGAGATGATGTCATGGGTTCCCAGGAGACAGGCTCTCCTAAGACCTCAGGTTACAGAGGAAGAGCCTGGGGCATGGAGGGCTGGCGTGACCTGGCCAGGACCTCCTGGCTAATGAGAGGAGGAGTCCGAGCCGGAGAAGGCCAGGCTGCCCAGAAAGGCCAGAGGCTGTAGGACAGGAGCCTCTCAGGAAGTGGCTGGGGGCAGCCAGCAGCCGGCCTAGAGCCCGCCCCACAGAAGAAACCAGATCTTAGAAGAGGGTGGGCGGCAGGCAGCTCAGGGGAGTGCCTGCCTTCTACAGGCTCCTGTCAGCAGGAGAAGGAGAGGGAAAATGTCTGTGTCCCCGTGTGCAGCAGAGGGGGTGGCGAGGAGGGCACTTGGCCGTCATATCTTCGGTAATGTCAGCCCAGTCTACCAGCTCTCTGCCCTCTTTCACTGTGTTTCCAAGCCCTGGATCCCTCCCAAGCCACCCCAACTCCAGGGCTGTCACAGTTCTGGACAGGCGAAGGCAAGGCTGTGGGGGGCAGACCTGTTATCTCTGCCTAAGAGTGAAATGGCCGAGTTGCTCCCCTCAGATCACAGCAACAGGGATCAGAGCCCATGACCAGCGATGCCCAGGATCGGTCCACAATATAAGGACATCTTCCAAGGGCGGTGGTGATGCCCTTCACCCCTTTTTAGCCCTTCCTGCTGAAACCCAGGAGCCTGTCCAGGAGGACTGCAGGTCTGGGAGGGCTCTGCCCGCTGGCCGCTGCGTGACCAGATGGCAGGTCTGCCTGGCCACAGAAGGTCTCGAGGGCAGGACTCCTGCTGAATTCATTCACTTATGTACTCCCCACAGTGCCTGCTAAGATGCCTGGCATGTAACAGGTGCTCCATCAGTGCTGAACGAATGAATGAGGGAATGAATGAAACGAAGATATTGAAGGAAAGGGCCTCAACCATGTGATTGTAGGCACCGACTGCTCTAAGCAAACAGTAAACCTAGAGCTGTTGCACCATTCCTGCTCTGTTAGTAGTAAAACTCCCTTAAAGTCCAGGCCTCCAGCAGCCAGAGTTTGCTGCTTCTGTACACACCTCAGTGTCCCCCGCAGTCGGAGGGAATCACCCCTGCCTCCCTGACTTCTGCCTCCCCCTACCCACCCAGGAGGTGGCTAATTTGCGTCCAGGCTGATGCCGAGTCTTATACCCAACCCACAGACCCCGCAGGTTCTGGAAACACCTGCCACTGCTCTGAAGGGCTCCAAGAGGCCGCTGGGAGTGTGCACAGCTGTGCCATCGAGTCAGATGTAAGGTGAGGAAGGGCTCAGAGCACCTGGCCTGGGGTCTCTGCTTACCGTGGCTGCTGCCGTTCTCTGGGGGCAGCTCCTGGCTGCAGGGGCCCTCCTCTACCTTGCCCTCGAGGCCGGCCCCTCTGGGGGGCTCCTGCAGCCCCAGAGGCGTGCTGTTGTTGCAGTTGTTGGTGGACAGGGCCAGCAGAGGATGCCTGACTGGAGGGCCGCAGGGCTGGGTCTGGGCAGGGGAGAGCTCACAGGTCCTGGGAACTCCACTTCTCGGAGGAGTTAGAGGCGGGTCCAGAGGCTCTCCCTGCCTCCCGGGTCTAGCCAGGGCTGCCTTCCTATGAGACACAGGTGAAGTGGTTTTCCTTGAAGATGGAGGGGTTGGCACCCAGCCATTGGCGGAGAAGGAAGTCGGCTTCTGGGCCTGGTGCAGGGCAGAGGGCTCTGCGTGACTCTCTTGCAGGGAGGAAGCAGACACAGTCTGGAGAGACTCATGGCTTCCTCCATCCTGGGCTTGTATGCCTGGCACCGAGGACCCCAGCTTCGTGGAAGAGGCCAGGAGACAGGCTGTCCTGCTCAGAGCCGGGGAATCCACAGCGTGGACCCAGTGGTTTCCCGGCCCTGGTCCAGGCGGCCGCTGGGAGCCCAGGGAAGCTTTTTTGGATTCCAGGGTAGGAGGCTTGGTGAAAGCATCTTCTCTGGGAAACTGAGTCCCCTCGGGCAGGTGTCCCCTGCCTTCTTTCATCTCCGCGACGCCCTCCATGTGCTCAACCCCCGGCAGGTAGTGAGGGGCCTGAGGGCTCCCCGGCAGCTCCCATCCGGCCTTCTGGAACCACCTGGGGCCTCCTCGGGGCCTGGAGCCCCGTGGACGGGGGCTGTTGCCGCGGGCCGGGCCCCGAGCCCTGCTGGGCTGCGAGGTCCCAGCCTCCTCGCCGTCGGTCCTGCAGCTGTCGGAGGTGTCCGTGCTGTCCAGCGCGGAGTCCGCCTCCTCGGGGCGCACCGCGTCTCCGATGTGCGTTTCCCGGATCCACTCCGTGTGGCCCCCCGGCTTGGCAAGGAGGGGCCTGAAGGGGGGGCTCGGGCCCCGAGCGCTGAGGGGCTCCGCCCGCACCCCCGGCACCCCACTTGCTCCCTCGCGCTCCCGGAGGGCCCTGGGGTCCGCGCCGGGGCGCCGGTCGTCGAGGCAGCTGCCGCAGGCCTGGCACTTCCTGTCGCTGCCCCGCAAGGGCGGCTGCGCGGGGAAGCCCCTCTGCTCCAGCCGCCCCACGAGCCGGCAGAGCGCGCCCTCGCCGCCGTCGGTGCGCGCGGAGCCCCCGCGGACGTAGTGGGCGAGCTCGGGCTTGGAGCGCAGCGGGCCCTGCGCCGCCGTCTGCCCCGCGCCGCCCCGCGCCGGGCGCTGCCGCAGCCGCTCCAGGTAGCGGGACTCCGCGTCGCGGGCCGACTCGTCCTCGAAGCGCACGCGGGACGGGGAGGCGCCCCGCTTCGGCCACTGCCCGCTGCTGGACTCCCCGCTGGAGGAGTCGCTCGTGTTCCCGTTCTGCGGCGTGTCTCTGCAGGCAAAGGGCATCCTCGCGTCCGGGGCTGGGCTTCTCCAGCCGTCTCTGGTGGGGAGACAGGGGGAGACAGGTCACAGGCAGGAGACCCGGAGGAAGGTACCCCGGGGGACAGCTCCATGATAACCGCAATTCCAAAGTTACCCCACGGAGGTTCCGAGTGGCTTCCGAGCCCATCCTGATTCTGAGACCCAGCACTGCAGAAAATCGATATGCGCTTCCCTACTTTTGGCTTTTCCCTCTGTAGCGTGGCGCAGCCTGATTCAAGATGAAACGTTATATAGGAACAGGGGATGTACAGAAGGATGGCAGCAAAATCCTCGTAGTGGGGTGTGCGTGTCTGTGTGTGTGCGTGTGTGCACGTGTGTGCACATGCGTGTGTGCATGCACACTTAGGAGGCGAGCCTGGCATTCGTGGGCATCAGGTAGGGATGAACTTTCCCAATGCTGTATTTGCGATAAAGGTTTAATGGGAAAGCGAATTGTAAGTCTCTACAGAGCATGTGGTGACCTGAAGTCAGGGTTTCTAAGCATTCTTGCTCCCACAGTGTGGGAGTCAAGGTTCCTAACCATCTTGCTCAGACAAAATTTAGACAGAATGCTACCAATGTTTCTCCTTGGGCTCTGCATCTTGTCTGTTCGAGCACCCACCTACTGCCCTCCTCAGCTCCTTCCCCACACTCTGAAAAGCTGTGAGGACAAGGACTGTGCTAGGAAGAGTCATCCTGTCACCAGCCTTTGCTCCGGGAGACACTGTGCTGGTGGTCAAGTCCTGCTCCGCTCAAGAAAACACTACATAAATCTCACACCAGGGTCCCCCGGAGCCGGGGGAGTTTCCAGGCATTTCCTATCAAAGGCTGCCTAAGGAAGGACTAAATGTTCCCTTCCTTTCCCCTGCAGTGGCATCCCTGTCAGTGCACTGCTCAGTGTTTGACATTCACACCATCTTTCTCATTTATTACTTCTCTATCACTCACACTGGACTCCTGCCTTTTACCCAGACTCCTTGCCTCCTGTCTGCTGGTCCTTCTGGAGCACAGCCTTGTCACACTGTCCCCCAAGGGGGTACAAGATTCAGCTCCCAGTCTTTGTGGTAAAAACACCGTGCCTCCACCTTCCACAATGTTTTCCTCCCCAGCTCTACCCCCCACCAACCACTCTAAAGGGCCCCCAGGCTTCCTACCTTATCCCCCTCACGCAGCCCGCTTGCCCCATTTCCTGGGTATTTTTTTTGAGGGGGGGTGTCTTTTTTCTTAACCTGCCTGAATCAGAATCCTATCTGTTACATGTTACCTGCTGTATCGACATCCCATGTGTGATGGTTACTTTCATGCGTCTACTTGATGGGTACCATGGTGCCCAGCTACTTGGTGAAACAGTCTTATGGATGTTTTTGTGGAGACATTTTTTGGGTAAGGTTAAATTTAGGTGGGCGGGGGCACCTGGGTGGCTCAGTGGGTTAAGCCTCTGCCTTCAGCTCAGGTCATGATCCCAGGATCCTGGGATCGAGCCCCGCATCTCGCTCTCTGCTCAGCAGGGAGCCTGCTTCCTCCTCTCTCTCTGCCTGCCTTCTGCCTGCTTGTGATCTCTCTCTGTCAAATAAATAAATAAAATAAAATTTTAAAAAATTTAGGTGGGCGGACTTTGAATAAGGCTGATTACCATCTACAATGTGGCTGACCTCATCCAACCCACTGGAGGCCTGAACAGCACAGATATGGATCTTCCTGGAGCAAGAAGGAATTCTGCCAATAGACTAAATGCCTTTAGATTGGAGTTGCTACTCTGCCCTGAGTCTGAAGCCTGCCAGCCTACCCTGCAGATTTTGGACTTATCATGCCTCTATGATCACATGAGTCAATTTCTTAAAATAAATCTCAGTCCCTCTCTCTCTCCATACACACACTCTCTCTCTCTCTCTCTCTCTCTCTCACACACACACACACACACACACACACACACACACACACACCCCTGTTGGTTCTTCCTCTGAAGAAACCTAATGCACCGTGATCGTATCTCCTCCTCTGAACACCTGCACCACCTGCCCCACTCATTTGTCATCACAGACTCCCAGGATGTTAGTGCTGGAAGGCTCTTCCGTGGCCACATGGTCAGGCCTCATTCCTAGAAAGGAGAGGCCACATAGGACCAGCTCCCAGGCTGATGGGCTCCTGAGCGGCTGCAAAGGCAAGCTGTGGGTATGTTTTCTCCCTCAGACAGGGCCACAAAAATAGAACTAGACCCTGACTGAGCTGGTGGTCTAGTCCTGCCTGGAGACAGGAGCCTGCATTTTGGAGACCTGCTACTTCTTTCCAATTGCTTAGAAATGTGCCCACATACGCAATTATCTATACTGGTATAGTGCATGTGTTATGTTACTGTTTTTAGTCCTCAAAGTGTCTCCGAAGCCTTCCCTAATGTTACCTTCCTCTCGCCCCCCTACCCCCCCCCCTCCCCCAACAGAGAAGTAGACTCTTCTCCAGTAGCATTGTGTACAGAGCACAATTGGCTCAAGCTGCCTGGAGACGCCAGCAACTTATTATAATGAAATGTCTGTGGGCGATTAGTGGATTTACTAATCCTTCCCCTAACTGGATGCTCCAGTGACTCTGGAGGAAGGATGCCAATGCTTTCAAAAAGGCTGCCTTAATGTGAGTTTCTCCTTCACCAAGCTTACGGCTACCCAACAGAAGGACAATTCTGATACACAATTAAGAGGAAAGGAGTTCGGATAGCAGCGGGAAGAAACCATACATGCTTCACGGTTACTGTTAAAGTATGCCAGCCAGTGGGGAGAGCGGCCCAGACGCAGACACAGCATCCACTGGACTGGGCAGGCTGTCCGTCCCAGCTGTCCTTTCTGTCTGAATAAACGGCATTGCCTGTGTGGCTCAGGTGAATGTGACTGGTGCCCTGGGGGTGTCACTGGCCATCCCTATCCACCCCTATCTCTGTGTCTTGACGGCAAAGCCACTGGCTGACCTCCCAGTCCTGATGGGTTGGAATGGTCTGGATGGCTGAGGGGGTCCAATATGGTGTAAAAAGGCTACCACCCTTGGGAATCAGGGGGTGGGCTGTGAGGTCAGAGAGACATTGCTCAAGACTGAGTCTCTGCAAATCTCCACGGGAGCCAGCTACGGCTGGGAGCTTAGGGCCCTCCCTCACCCAGGCCTTGTCAGGCAGACTACCGGCTCAAACCTTGGAGCCCAGGCCTCCGGTCCTGCAGGCCTGCTGGTCACCTAACCAGGAATGCTGATCGGGCAGAGGAAAGTGACAGCCAGGGTCCTGCCGCACTAAGGGTGGGGTGGGGGTTGCGAACACTTCCTAAATCATGCAGCTTCAAGTGCCACAGGGCAAGCACAGGAGCCTCCCTGGAGGCCGCGACTAGGTATTGGCTAAATATTTCCCTGCCCTGGGATGAGCTGGGTCCTGGGGGCCTGCGCACCGACTGCTAATCCTGACTCCAGTATCTTCTCTCAATGAGCACTGCTCCAGGAGGAAATTTTTTTTTTTAAACTACTGTCAAGCAAGTGGGTCTGCCTGCTTTGAGGCCTGAGTGGAACCTGTGCTTAAAAGCTCTGCTTGGAGGAATTCTGCAGAGTTGTCAGTCCTCCTGTTGTCTGGAGCTCACACTCAGCCGGGCCCTATCTACCCGCTGCACACAGAAGTCGCAACACCTACGGGCCACGATACTTCCAGGGACCCATGAAAATGTTTCAATTTCTTTTCAAATCAGAAGAAAACAGACTTTAAAGTCTAAGAAAACATTCTAATATGTGATACCTTTAAACCAGCATGGTCATAAACTGTAACTTTTAACTTTTGTTATGGAGGAAGGCAGACAAGGCCAGAATGCCTCAGGACCCCCAAAAGTCATAATGTGGGTCTGCATTCAGAGAGGGGTTCGCGGCTGAGATGTGAAGTTCTTCGCTAGGATTGCCCCCTGGGTGGTTCAGGGTCTCCCTGCCTGTCTCCGCATGGCCAGGGAGGTCCTTGGGATCCCTGAGCTGGGGACTGTTCTCTGTTGGTGCCTGTGAAGCCCCTGGAGCCCCGAGCTCTGGCCCCTGAGGACCCCACCTGCACCTGTGTCTCTTCCACTGCTCAGGATCTGAGGGGTTGCCATCCATGTGGGGGTTTCTGGGTCAGCTCTCTAGAGCCCTCTTGCCCAAGAAGAGAAGGCTCTGGCCAGAGAATCTGCATCCTGTCCCCACCCCCCTGGAACAAGAGGCGAGCAGAAGCCCTTTCTGGAGGCCCACTTCCTATAACAGTGCGTTTCCAACCACACGATCCATGCAACCCACACATGCTCTAGAGTCTTAATGGAGCCACGACCTGACACAAGACAAGAGCTCTCGTGGTGCACCCCCCTCCCGGGCCCTGCATATTTCTGGCATGTTCTGCCCTCCCGGTATTAGGAATAGCAACCTCAGTGTGCCTGTGTCCCAAATGGCAAAAGCCTGTGTTTCCAGGAGCTACTGGGTTTCTACACTGATTTGCTTCCAGAAAAGGCAGCTACTGCCACCTCTTCACCTGCTGGAAAAGCCTGTCTGTTCGAGCCTGCCCCAGCCACCTCCAGCTAGACCTAGGACAGAGACGGCCTTCTGGAGACTGCCCCCACTCTCTCGTCCATGTTTCACTGAACTGCTCTTTGGAAGGAGGGATGCCTCTGGGCCGAGGGCGGGGGAGGGCACGGGGGTGCTCGTGCGTCTGACTCAGGCCTGGGGCCCGTGTGGCATCGCCATGTGAACTCAGCATGGCTCTCCAGGGTGATCTGACAAGCATAACCTTTAGAAGCATCTGCAGCAAGCCATCTGGCGTTGATTTTTCAGCTACCCCCTCTGAGGATTCACCAGGGCTGCCAAGTCGAAGTAATTCTTTTCTGGACACAGCAGCTGTTAAACTGGGTCACCTTGCATTTCCATAGCATTTCGATGGCCAGGGGACAGCCTGACGGAAGGGAACGTACTTTAAAGTCAGTGACTGGGATTGTTATGAGCTGCTTGGGGGATCTGGGGAACAGAAGGTGTCCAACAGGACCGCCATACAGTCACGTCTGTTTTGCAAATCATCCTCTTGACTGTTTTGTGGCTACAAAACCCAGCCCAAGGATCTATAGAAAGTGGAACGGAGGGCTCTGTGAAACTTTATGGCTCTGGGTGCCACATACGTGCAGAGGAGACTAGTTTGGATGCTCCCAAGAAGCCATGCCCATTCCCAGCTAGTGTCCTCCGAGCAGAGTGAGACAAGGCACAGACGCAGAAATAAAAGGGTAGCTTGCTTGCCGGGTTAGGATCTCTGGAGCCCCTCCTAGGTGTCACAGTGACACTGAGCCCAGAGGCAGGCCTCAGCCCTCTGCACGTGCTGGAGTTATCTCAGCAGCGCCATGACCTTCCATGAGCGGGCTCAGCGCTCCCCATCGAAGAGCATATGGTCCAGTTCCACTGAGAATCCCCGCTCCCGCTAGGACCACGTGATGGAAACCAGCACAGCCAGCGTGCCCATCACGGTGACCAAAGCACAGGCTTTGTCAACAGTGCAGACGTCCTGCTTTGGGGCTGGCCCAGCGTGGCACGGGCTGGCAGCTCCGAGTCAGGCCCACCCAGGTACACCGGCTCGGGTGTGTGAACTCCATGTGTAAATGGTTCCTGGAGGGGCACAGCGCATGGAACGGCGTGATGACGGGATCAAAGTCACCCAAGGAGTGGTCACCTAGGTGAAGTGCTGGTCTGAATGTCCTTGAACTTGTTCGTGTCCAGTCGGCTCACCCCCACCCACAACCCTAACATCGTGAAAGCAGGGTAGTGCCCAGTTTGGCCATTCTGACCTCTCTCCTCCTCTATGGATCCCGTATCTAACTGCCCAATAAGCAAGTCCAGAGCGAGGTCCACGGGCAGCCCCCTCCAAAGCCCAACCCTGCACCTAGACTTCACCCCCAGGCTGAGGCACCACCAAACCTCCAGATACCCACTCAGACCCTGGGCTTCACCCGGGATGCTTCCCCGCCTCACACTTCCCACGTCAACTCAAGGGCTACGGGTAGCTAACTCACACAGTGTCTACTCTGCGCCGGGCTCAGTTCTACACACCTGACACGTGGGACTTCATGTAACCCTCACAACAACCCCGTAAGATGGGCGTTGTGACAATTCCCACTGTGCAGGTGACAAAACTGAGGCACGGAGGCTTCCCTAATGGCATACAGCCAGTATGAACCCACTGGTCTGGTTCCAGAGTCTCAACCCGTCTCCCTTCTCTGCTGCCTCAGTAAACCTGCCTGCTTCTGGCTCTTGGCAATGCCTTGTCTCCACAGCCTCCTCCCCGTCCCATCTCACTAGGAGCACAGTGCAGCGCGCTCACTGCCCCGGGGCTCCTGGATCGGAGCCAGAACAGCTTTACTAAGATGCACGTGTGGTCATGCTCTCTACCTGCTTCAGATCCTGGAGATTTCTTCCACACCGTTCAACTTGACCTCCATGACGCGCTTCCACTGAGCTCTCTGGCCTTCGAGCCACTCCCTCCATCCCCCAAGAGCGTGGTACCTCTACTCAGGGTCTCTGCCCTGCGATGCTCACCCCAGCCCCCAGCATGTGTCCAGTGAAGGTCTACACCTCCGTCAAGCCCCGACTTTGCAGCCCCAGCCTCTCAAGCCTCTGCTCTCCTTCCCAGGTGGAGGTACGGGTTTCCTGCCCTGCACACCTGTCTTGCTTCTCCTACGCCACAGCGCACAGACTTGTACTAATCCGTGCGCCTGTCTTTCTCCCTGGAGACTGTGACATTTGTCCCCTCAGGGAGCTTGGATTATGTCACTCACCTTTGACGACTTAATGTTTGACACTCGACACCCGGTCAAGGTGCGTTGAGGGACTAAATGATTCAGATCAAGTCCCTGACATGGGAACCACGCACGCAGACAGAGGGAGGAGTGAGCAGCGGCCTTTCGGCCAGATCCTACCTCTCCTCCCTGCCACAGCCCTCCTCGGCCAGCCTGGCCGGGGCTCCACTCACCGGCCACCCTGGGCAACGACAGGCGCGATCTCATGGCTGGCACGGAGGGGCCGCGTCCGGGCCTTCATGCGGGCTCGCTGCAGCAGGTGCTTGGCTTCCTCATGCCTGGGGCTCAGCGCAGACTCCGGCTTGGGACCAAAGGTCCTGCAGGGTGACACACGGGCCAGAGCAGGCAGGGGAGGGATTAGAAGAAAATAACACGGATTAGAAGGGCTTTCACAGCATTGAGCTCGGCTGTGCCAGAAAATGCCCTGCGTGTGCAGCCTTCCTTGTTCAGCGCCTGCACAGAGTGTGCCAGCCCGGGGCCTGGGGTCCTGGGCCTAGGGTCTGGGCAATGGCTCTGAGTATCTCTGGACATGGCCGGGGAGCTGGCCCGCCTTGGACATCCACTCAGGGACTGGATGCAGAGATCCCAGGAGGATCTAAGAAGGGCAGGGAAATCTCCAGATTATTCTATTGTTCCTTCCCTGGGCAGGCAACGGGAGTTATCCGGGAGGACGGGGGAAGGGCCTGGCATTGTCGGACTGGGCCTGTGCCCAGCCAGATGGTCTTTACACACATCACCTCCCTCTCTCCTTCTGCCTCTCTTTGCACCCACACGTACCCATGCAAACCCCCACCGCAGACACGAGGAGTCAGGCCTCAGCCCGTCGCATTCTGCTCCTTGGGGGGGAATGACATTTCTGTAAATCTTGGTGCTTGCTTGCCTCAGTCCCCATCCAAACCCGTCAGGCATCAGCTCAGGGCTGAGAGAAGTTAAGCTAGACCCACACCAAGTCAGCCAATGGCTCGAATTTCGTAATAAAGGTCCTCTACCAGCCCTCCCCACCTACCAGATGTGTGGCCTTCCGAGCCGGTCCAGAGCCACAGTCCAGAGCTATGGCCCTCTTTCAAAGCTGTCTGGCAGACAGTGACATACAGCCTACACCAGGGTACAGAATAATGGCAGCCCCACAACCTCCCACTGACAAGCCATTTCTCTCCGCTGAGCTCCCTCTCCCCAGCCAGGCTGGCCCAGGGCAGGTGTGCTCTCTGCTTGACAGATGAGGACGTTCTGCAGCAGACACGAACATTTGGCACATGGCTCAAGGTCGAACATCAGTGGAGAGCAAAGCAGACGATCGCCAACCCCCCTGCTTCCAGTCTCCTTCCCACACCCTCTGTCATCTCCTTCCTCCTGTCCGTGGATCCTGGGGCAGGCTGAGAGGGCTTGTGGCTGGAGTCACACTCTTTGATATGAATTCAGCATCCCCTGAGGCTGCCCCTGTCCTCACTGTCACAGACGCTGGGCTGTCCTCACCACGGAGGGTCCACTAAAAGAGAACCCAAGCAGGTAGAGGCTCAGCCAGGCTTAGATCTCAGACGAAAGCCCCCCAAATCCTGTGTCTCGCCCACCACATGGGTGACCCCAAGAAAGGGGCCTGACTGGGGGAAGGCAGCAAGCAGTTTCCTGGATGACAGATGACAGACGTGAGTGGGAAATGGCATAACTCTGGGGCCCCCCTGGGACATCCTTGGACAAGCTCGGGCAGTCTATGGTTCTTTGTTTTTCTCTTTTCTTGCCTATTCTTTTCTCTTCTTGCTTGCTTTTGTCTCTTTCTTTGTTGCTCATGCTTTGCACCTAACCTCGCTTTGCGGCCCAAGGGAAAAAAAAAAAAAAAAAAAAAAGATCTGCTAGAATAAAGGCACCATCTGTGCATACGAACCCTGGCAAGGTCCAGGCACAGTTTTGGAACGAGGCAGGTTTACTGGAGGGACGTGAAAGTGAATCTCCACCCTTGCGGCCCCGCGAAGACTCCTTTGGCAGCAGAGACCTTGCTCTGCAGGCTTCCCAGGCAGGCGGCCCCTCCGATGTGCCGCTGAGAGCAGCTGTGCTCCCTGGGGCTCCTGCTCCGAAGGCAGAGATAATGAGGTTACCAGCCCGAGAGACGCCCCTGCAGCCGCAGGCCGCTGGCTGCCCGCCCACACGCCCTGAGCCTTCCGGTGACAGCTGTGCTTCCCCGGCTGTCGGAGGGCATTTGTCACAAGATCTGGTGGGCAGGCAGGAGGGCCCCCAGGCAGCTGGCCAGATGCTGCCAGGACCGGCCTTGCCCCCCAGGTTTTTAAGCCATTTTCCAGCTTTGTTGCTTCCTTTCTGCTCCCTCTACTTGGAGCTGTTCATTCTTTTTTTTTTTTTTTTTCTTTTTTCATCAGCTGCCCTGCTTTGGTTCCCGGCAAACAAAGCCGCTTTCTCCACTGATTGGAAAAGTAAGGCTTTTTAGGCTCCTGAAGGCATCCGTGCAGTGACAAGCTGAGCAGGGAGGGGAGTGGCAGCCCCCTTCACAGATGGCAGTCAAGGTCAGCAGGGCAGGCACTCCTGGCCCTGACCAGCCCGATGGAGGGGGAAAGGGCTCCTTCTCGCGGGAGGAGGGGGCCAACGGCTGCAGTGCCGGGGGACGTTGAGCCTCTCCCAGCCCAACTACCCACCCTGGAACCATCGCTGCCTCTTGCCCGTCTGCCCCAGGGGTGCCGGCCCTGTCAGCCTGACAGGTCCAGACTCTTCCATCCGAGCGAGGCTTTCCTGTCTAGTCTGGCCCTGGCCTCTGCCCAGGGCATGCGGCCCTAGAGCCAACCCCTTCCCGTCACGGCCTATACCCCGCCATCTCAGCTCCCACATTTGTGGAAATTTCCTGGAAGGGCTGGGGCCGTCAGTGCATGGCTAACCTTAGGCAATTCCACCTCAGAACAGAGTCGCTACTCTCCCGAAAGCTTTGCCCGTCTGGGACTCAACAGCTCAGCGGGTAGGGCACAGGGATAACATGGCTGAGTGCTGTTCCTCCCTGGGCCTTAGCCACCCCCATCTGCAAACGGTGGGAGTTGGACAGCCGCAGAGACTCGCGCTGCTACCCTGGGAGCCCAGGTCTTGGCCAGGTGGTCTGGTGGACCCCACGGGCTGGGGTGGGGGATTTTGAGGTCCTCTCCCTGGGGGGTTCACATCACAGAGCTTTAGTTACCAAGGAGCAACAACACCTACAAGGAACTAATTGTTGGGGCGCCTGCTTGACTCAGTCAGTTAAGCATCTGCCTTTGGATCAGGTCATGATGGGGTTGAGCCCCGTGACAGGTTCCCTGCTCAGTGAGGAGCCTGCTTCTCCCTCTCCCTCTGCATCACCGCCCCCCACTCTGCCCATGTTCTCTCTCAAATAAATAAATAAAATCTTTTCTCTTTCTTTCTTTCTTTTTTTTTTTAAAGGAACTAATTTTTGGGGACAGCTAGAGTACCACAGGAGTACTCTGGCCATGCCCTCTGTCCCTCTAACCACCAGTGTCCCAAGCTGATTGCAAGGACAAGGGTGGCCTGTGCCCCCGTCTGGTCTCTCCCTCTAAGCCAGTTTCCTGGTGGAGAGACAGGCTTAGCTCTGACCTCAGCTCCCCAAATGGCCAGACAGGTGGAGATCGCCAGTCAGGACAGCTACCTCGCCTCTCCTAGCAAAGGAGGAAGGTCAACAGGACAGAGTAGGCTCTTTCTACAGCCATTATAATCCTGGATTAAAATAATAAGCTCCAGAAAGTCTGGGTCTCACCCTTTGATCCCAGGAACACGAATTAGGGAAATAATTTGGACTATAAGGAGATCTGACATTTCCTAGATTCCAGGACCCATGGGCAAAGGGGAAATGTATCACATACAGGACATATATAAACCTTCTTGCCTGGCATTTGTTCCATCTTTGTATTCGATAAAGCTTTTAGATGACCGAGGGCCGAGCTCTCCTTCTGTCCCACTGTGCACAGTTTCCGCCAGTGAGGGGAAGAGAAAAGGCGGGCCTGAAATTGAGTCCTGACTCCGTGTGGCCTGACGGTGGGATGCTATCCTGGGGACGTTATCATTGGTGCCTTCCCCGTCGTGGGCAGCTGGACACGGCCAGGCTGGAGCAGAGTGCAGGTTCCAAGTGTGGTTCTGGAGCAGCCTAACCAGGTCCTAATTCGGGGCTGCCCCTTACAAGCGGGTCACCCTGGTAGGTTACTCTGGGGTTAAGCCTCGGTTTCTTCATCTGCTAACTAAGGGCTCAGCTGAGAAGAGAGACTGAGCGCCTTTTAAAAGGAGCCGGCTACTGGGTACGTTTCAATCAGGTTAGCATTCGCTACTCCTACTGCTGATATTATTGAGGTTATTTATTTTAAGTTACTCTCTCCTTAGGAACAAAGGATGGAATCCCTAACTGTGAACTGAAATCCCAAAGAGATGACATTGTCCTTGTCTGCAAGGGGAAGGTACGTTTGGAGGGGAACCTGTTCTGAAACTCAAGAAGGCTTGGTGGTTTTGCTCTGGACCACTCTTGACAGGGCTCACCGAGGTGATGCCCATCGAATGGGGAGCCCAAGGAGACTGGTAGCAGAGAGCAGCTGTTGCCCAGAGAATTAACAGGCAACTTCTGACCAGAGAAGGAAGAGCGGGCGTCCTTGAGAATGGTTGCTGTCTCACTGAACACCTTGGAAAGGATCTGGGTGGAGGCGAACAGAGCTTCCTTAAGACACCAACTTCTTACTTGGGGAGAGTAGGGCGGCTGGCTTTGTTCTTGCATCTTGAAGGCTAACAAATTCCCTAGGGGCTGGCCCCTCTGGGCAGCACCGCCTGGCCTCCGTGTGCAGAGCCAGGTGCCCAAGACTCCCCCCGATAGGAGGGAGAGTGGCCGGCTCAACTCCAGAGGCCAGGGAGGAGGGTTTCCTCTTCTTGAATGTCAGCCCAAGCCCACAGGTGGTCTGGGGCAAAGCAGCTTTCTGCAGCCTCTGTATTCACAGAGACTGGGACCGTCATGAGGTTTCCATGTGAGGCGTGTGGGCGAGTGTGGTCATGATGTGGCATGAGCGCTCCAGGAGGCACGAGCTGTGCGTCAAGGCTTCAAACGTTAGGGTTCCTCCTTCTCCACCCAGCACTTAGAACCCTACACAATCCAGAGCACAGGATCGGAATGCTGGTGAGTGGTTTACCTTTTCTTTTTAGGTGTGTTCTTGGTGGGCTTGGGAACGCCAAGGGGGCTGTCCTCCAGTTTTCCTTTGCGTCTGTATATCTGAGTCTGCGGGCAGGATCGGGGGTGGCTGGGGATATGTAGGACAGGCTGTGGCTGTGCCATCCTTCCCCACTCCCTTGCCTTGGTACCCCTACCGCCGGGAGAATCCTGGGAATGTGCTAGAATGCCTCTTCTCCCATGCTCACCCCCAGGACTCATCATGCCCCCCAATCCTAGGGGCTCAGAAGATCCAGAACCTGACCAGTCAGCCAGAATGATCTTCAAACCCTCTCACCAGCTGTGGAGCACGGGTGCCAGGCCACAGGCCACGACAACAGCCCTGCAGTCTAAAGACACGGTCGTCGGACAATGGACAACAGTGGGTGCGGCAGAAGGAAGACAGAGAATGTCAGTCCTCTTCTTACTGCCCTACTTAAAATCTCAGTTCCATACCTCTCCGTAAATGGAGAGCCAGCCTTCCCGTTTTGGATCCTGTAGTATCCACGCATCCCGGTTCAGCCTTCTCGAAAGCCCTCCTGCAGGCCCTACACACACGGGGTGTCCTGTCCTGTGTCCATCCCACTCCTACCAAGCCCACCTACACTCCTGCCTATGAGTCTCTACCATACGTTTTCTGAGGGCCTGTTCCATGCCGCTGCTTGGCAGGCACAGGGCCCCAGAGATAAGATCGGCACAGTTTTTGCCCCCAAGGAGCTCCAGGAGGAGACCCAGCAGCAGCATCTATGGCCAAAGCTGATATAGGTGAAGATGGCAGTGAGCGCAAAAATGGGCAATTCCCTCTGAAATCATACACAGCGGTTGGTTCACAGGATGCTCTCTGAAAATGCTAGTTAATATGTTAATTTTTAAAAAGCCGGAGATCTAGCAGCTGTGGGCCTGACCCCTTGAGCCACAAGCCAGGCCTCTGAAATCCTTGGGGGAATCCCTGCCTGCCTCCCTTTGCACTGGAGTCTATGAGCTGCTTTGGGGCAGGGAGTTTTGACCTTCAGCCATCCCAGCAGGGGCCAGAAAACTGGAACCCACTAGGGTATGGGCTGCTGCAGGCTGGCCCTCTGCCTTCTCTCCTCATGAAGAGGTGTGTGTGGGGGCTGGGCTTCCCTCCGGCCTCAGCTTCTGAAATGAGCACGATTCTGCCGCAGGGATGGGGGAAATCAACAACCTGGGAATCCTCTGAGTTTCCTTCATCATTAGAGCACAAATAAAACACAACCCCAAAGACCCTCTTCTCTCCATTTTCCCCAAGGCTGAACAATCGCTACAGCCCAGCAGGGCACGGAGGGAGGGCGGAAGGTCCTGATGGAGCCAGAGTCGGCCTCAAGGGGGCGCCTGGCACCTGCCGCCGCCGCCGCGGCCGCCGGTTGCTTTCAGCTCACACTCCCTTTGGAGGCCAGGCCTGGGATGAGGATTGCCTTGACTACACTGCCCCCCTGGCTTCACGGATGTTTTGTTTCACCAAGCCGGGTTAACTTGGGATCCCAAGGCAGTCTGTAATCCTGATCTGTTCTCTCAGCGCCTCCAGATAGGGAAGAGGCCAAGCTGGTCCAGGCCATTTTATCAGTGAGGGTGGGATGCCCACGGGCTGCTAAGCGTGGAAGAGGGCAGAGCCAGCCCTGAGCAGAGCGCCCACCTCACTCTCCTCCCCGTGCCTGTCTCGGACGGGACCGGTTTCCCCCTCAGCCTGTGAACAGGTGGCCGACAGCACTGGCCCCCACCTGCCCTCTCGGAAGTGCTTGCCTGCCACGTCCTCCTCTCCCAAACCAGAACCCCACCCCCCAAATCATCTCAACAGTGCTTGGGTGAGAAACAAGATTAGCCCATGGAGCCTGGCACCTCCCCTTCTTTGCCCTTCCCTGAGAACACCTCACCGGCGCTCGGGGAGGCAGAAGACCCCCAGATCCCTAACTCGAGGAGCGGCCTGTGGGGCACAGAGAGGACAGCTGGGGCAGTGTGGCGTGTGGGTGAGCGCCCAGACCGTAGCACCAGGCAGCTCTGCCGGCAAACCCTGGTTCCCACACTTACTAGCAGTATGACCCTGGGCAAGTCACTTAACCTCTCCCCAGAGGGGCCTCTTTGTCAGGGACCAGGAACAGCTGCCACAGTTAGTTATTAGGATAAAGTGAGGGCAGAGACTTGGCAGAGACTTGACCTGGGCAGAGACTGACCTGGGCAGAGACTTGGCACAAGCCCGGCACCCAACAGGGGCTGGGAAAGGGCGGGGCTGGCATGGTCTTCCAGAAGGAAGAACAGGCACCGGCACATTCCAGCTCTCTAGGACTCAACCCTCCTAGTAGAGGGGGCTGCTCTGGGGTCAGGGGATGGAGGTCTCCTCTGCATTTGGCTCTTAGCCTTCAGGGTCCCGGAGCACTTCTAGTGTTCTCGTAGCATCTCAGGTGTCCCACCTGCAAGGTCAACTGTCTTGGAGACTACCCCCCAACAGGCCAGCCCGCATCCCGTGCACACCGTGACAACTGTCTCAGGCTCTGCAGTGGCCACCGTTTCTGATCGCCATGCAAAGCGATAACAACTATAGACAATTATAATTAAGTACGGGTTGGATTAATATGGTCAATGAGTATTTGATTGCAATTCTGAAAGATACTGATGCCGGACCAGAGTGCGAGGCCGGACCTTCTCTGCGTCACACCTGCAGAGGAGATCAGAGGACTCACTGCCAGAGTCTGTTCTGACCCCCTGAAGGATGGCCACCGAGAAGCACGGCCACTGCGGCAGAACACCCCCCTGCCCAGGGCCTTAGGCCCCTCCGTACAGACACTAAGTCCCCAGGATGCTGGTCCCACTGGCACTGCTGGATTACAGAGTGGAGAAAGCAGGCCTTATTTCCAAGGTCTCGGGGGAAGTTCAGCTATAAGGAAAAGGTGTCAATAAATCCATCCCCCTGAGGGAACAGGGGGAGCTTGCGGTGTCTTAGGGACAGCTTCAATTTCTGCCCAGGAGACTCAGGAATAGACCCAATGAGGAGCTCTGTCCAAGGGGGCCTCCCGACAAGGCCGATGTTTCTCTCATCCCTGAACTAGGCACGTTCCCTGGCCCTTGGGCCTGGGTGTCTGCTCAGGAGGGGCCTGACTGTGCACCACAGGTCGGTGGGGCACCCCAGAGGCCAAAGTTTTCCCCAGGCCAACTCCATGCCCAGATATATGCTGGGCACAGTCCTAGAGTTCACTAAGACAACTTCTTTCTACACACACACGCCCATCACACTACACACACATCTGCACACACCTACACACCTTACCCCGGCACACCTACACCCGACCTGAACCCTCAAATGCTGCAGGTGGCCTGGGGTTGAAGCAACCGTCCAGAAATCCCCATCCCGAGGGTTCCACACAAACACCATCACTGCACAGGACCGGGGGGGGGGCGTCCCTTCCTTCCCCACAGTTGAGTTTCTCCTCCTCTAAAACGGATATTCTTAGTACTTATTATCCACGTTCTCCTTTCAACAGTGAGCTCTGGACAAAACTCCCAGGGGCGACACCCTGCGGGGGGTGCACACCACGGGGCAGGGGGCGTGTGAGAAGTGGCACGCCGGAGCAGGTGCAGGAAGAGAAGGCCCCAACTCACAGGACTTGAGGTTCGTCTGCCCCAGCTGCCTCCTCTGTGGCTCCCCAGGGAAGGAGGAGGACAGCGGGTCCCTGAGGACCAGTCCTTTCTGCAGCCACACTCCTCCATATGGTGGCCCGGCTATGTGGGGACCTGGCAGAGGGGAGTCAGTGATGCTTCCAAGTCATAAATAATGAGCAACGCAGGAGTCAGAAAGGCCCCTCTCCACCAGGCCCTTGGCCAAGGCCACAGCAAAGGCAGTCGCCAAGCAAAAGCTGGATCGCCTGAACGGGGGCAGCCTTAATTTGTGGGGGGGGGCCTCTTCCACATTTTCTGGAAGGCAGGTCAACGGAAGTGGAATTTATGCAGGGAGTGGCCTGGGAATGAAGCGACACCGGTGCTGACCTCTGCCCTCCACAGAAGCTGGGAGACCCTCACCAAGGGACGTCACTGTGCAGCCGGAGACACAGAGCCCGGTGAGCCCAGAACCAGGAGCTCACTGAAGACGGAGGCCAACCTCTGAGCAGGCACTAGGGGTGGCCGCTCAGCACCACTGAGCCCACATCCTGCCAGGACACGACACTCTGGAGTGTGGCCCCACTGTCCCGACCACCCAGAGCACAGTTGCCTGGGGACGCTGGTGGCAGGGTTGCAGCACGCCTGTGGGGTATCACAGGTGAGGTCGGAGGAGGCAAACCCCTTTACAGAACCACAGCTCTCTGGCTGGGGAAGGAGCTGTGGGGGACAAGCTTTGCAATCTGTGGACTTGCCCTAAGGATTTTCACAACAATTGTCTCCTGATGGCCCCACCACAGTCCTGGGAAGGAAGCCAGACAGATGCTATGTGGGCCAACTTAAAGATCAAGAGACCGAGCCCAGGGCCGGGAAAGGACGCCCAGGGATGTTAAGCGGGTCATTGGTAGTGCTCTGACACTGCGTCCTGTGCCCAGTGGTTTTACTCGAGTAGTAGCCAGGCACCCATGGGGACTGGGGGGGATGGACAGCTTCTATAGGGTCTCAGATATGAGGATCCACAGTGGCCCACTGTCACCGGTCTGCTGGTGTGGGTTCCTGCCTGCCCCTGGCTTTCCTGAGCCCTCCCACTCTCCTGGTGCTGGGCAAACGAGGGGGAGCCCAGCGAGGATGGAGGGAGAGGACGCATGCATCCTGGGCTCTCACCTGCTCTGGTCTGAGTCCTGGAGGGAGACACCTGAGTCCCAGTCCACGTCCCCTGCTGGCCGCTCTAGGACACAGAACAGAAGCAGAGATCAGGGCGGAGCCAGAAACCGGGCTCTCAGCTGCCACTTCATGAACACAGAGAAGAAAGTTTTCTCCAGGAGTGGCTTACTCCAGAGATAAACTCAACTCTACTCTGGGTCTCAGCCTAGGAAGTGGAGGCGCAGCCTGTCACGGTGACCGCTGGTGAGCACTGCCATGGACCAAGGGGACTGTGTGGGGCCTCTCAGGTGTGGGTGAGGAACAGACTTTTGGAGTGGCAGGAAGGATATGTAAGAAGGCTCTCCCTGGCCTGAACAGTTGCACATCCCATCCCAGCAGAGCGGCCGCCTGAGAAAATGCCTGCGCTTTCTGTGGAGGGGGGGTCTCCGCCAGGGGGCGATGAGGTCCACTGGGGCTGGGGGCAAGTCATCAGAGGAAGGTCCAGAAAGCCCCTCCGGAAAGGGCTATAAACCACAGGGAAGAAATCATGGTCGCCTCCACCCCAAGCTCAGAGGGTGGCCTCCAACTGGTCTGGGGGCTCATGGGGGTCTTCAGCAGGCAGGCTAGCTGGGAGGTGGTAAGGAGTCTGTGTCAAAGCCCAGAATAAGAGGACATCTTGTGGAACGAGGTGGCCAGCGGCTGTGCTCCTCTGCCTTTCCTGCCACACCCACCCCCCACGCGTACCCTCTGGCCCCTCGTCTCCTCCCGGACTCCCTCCTTTTGCCCCCACTACCCAGACCTACAGAGTGAGCCTCACCTGGTGGGCGTCTGTCCCAGGATGGAGTCCAGGCTGGGATTCCCACCTTGGGCGGGCCTTGACCCCCAACATTTAACATCTCTTGCAGCAGAAGGCGGTTCCTCTCCACCTGGTCAGACAGGGATAAGGCACTGCCCCCAGTGCCCAGAGCCCCCAGCTCTGCAGCTCGCCAGAGCCCCCCCAGCAGGGCTGGCCTGGGAGCAAAGTCCTCCTCGCAGGTCAGAGACAAGCTGTCCAGGTCTCCGCCTGAACCTAGACCATCCTGAAGGGCGTATGACCTTCCTTTCCTCAGGTTGGGCATGTGGGCGACCTTGTTACAAGGCCCAGGGCCCCCAGGCTGGCCTGGGGTGACTCTGTGAACAGGGCTCTCTTGCAAAGAGCCAGGCCCTGGTGGCAGACTCCCCTCATTGTCCGTCAAGGCCTGTACTGCTTCTGGAGGCCACGGGCTCCTCCCGTTCCAGCACTCCAGCCCATTAGAAGGTGGCCTGGGAGGTCTGGGACCCCCGTTCTGGGCAGGTTCCTCCTTGTTGATACCGCTGTCCAGCTGCCCATCGGGCAGATTCTGAGTAGGGAGGCCCTCCTCCGCATCGGGCAAGGAAGACCGCTCCGACAGAATCCCAGGTGCGCCCCCCCTGACTCGCCTGCATTTGGGTTTCTTGGACGGCCGCTCATGAGAAGTGAGGCAGGGGCTCACCCCCTGTTTGCCTGCGGACATTTTTTCCTTCAAGGCCCTCACTTTGGACTCCAGCACAGAGGGGCCTTGGAGCTGCATGCCCCATGCCCTGGCATGCTGGGGGGCCATCAGGCTGGGTTTTCTGTCTTCCAGAGAGCAGGACCAGGGTCTTGGAAGGTGTCCATTATGCAGCTGTGGCTCACGGCCACTTCTCTCCACAGCTGAGGTCATCTCCATGGAGCTGGCTGTTCTGCTCCCTATTTGGGTCCCTCTGGAGGAGAAAACAGACAGAGCTCCTGAGACCCAGCATGTGGCTAGTAGCTCTAACAACCTCCTGGGTCCCCAAAGTGCCTTGGTATCGAAGCCTGTGCAGATACGAACAACCCGGGGACAGAACTTTGAAAAGTGCAAATCACTGGATGGCATGAATAAGTTATTGGGGTTTTTCTGCCAATTCTGAGCAGTGTCCTAGTTTTTCTATCCCCATTTTGCAGATGGGGCACAATGAAGCTTCAAACAACAGACCAATGTGGACCAGAGTGACAACAGGGGCCAGATTTCCCAATCCCCAGCCCCCGTCTTTGCTGACAGGCGGTCTCAGGGGAGAATGTCAGATCTGCTAAAAGCTAACAGGCTCCTCCCTTTTTAAGGGGAACCAGAAGGGATGAGAGACTTTAGGAAGATACCACAGAGGATCTGACCCCTTGGTCGAAGGTGCCTCCCTGTGTATAAGCCACAGGACAGTAGCACAGGGCTGTGCTCCAAGGGTGGCCACGGCCAGTCACCAGCTCCTAGCCACATCTGCTCTGTGCCAGGCAGGCCTGCAAGAGCTTTCAAACACCCTCTTTCAGATGATCCCCACACACTCTGCCAGAAGGGGATTCTCTTCTTCACTTTCACAGACAGAGAAACTGAGGCACACAGAGATCTGGTCACACGGGCTGAAAGGAGGCTGGACTTGGAATGCAAGTCTCCTTCTAAGGCCAGGGCTCTTTAAAGCACTCAGCGATGGGGTGATTATTAACCCTCCCCCCAGCTCCCCTTATTCTGTCGATGAGAATATCCAGTCGGGAGAGGTGAAGTGACTTGCCAGAATTACACGGCTCCTTGGTGGCAGAGCTGAAGTCAGTGTATTCACAGGGAGTGAAAATGAGCTTGGGATTTTACTCACCAAGTGGTTCAGTGCACTAATATTTACCCCACTCGCCGAGAAAATGCTCCTTAAACACCGTACATTTAGATGGGTCTCATCTGAAGTAAACTGCATGTATAAAAATTCATATTTACATGCATTACAAATTAGGAATGAATTTTTCACTTCGGATAGGAACTAAAGTTCACCACAGGATTCTCTGACATGGCAGGTCCCTCCATCGTCGTTCACTACCATTCGATGTATACGTGCTTCTGGAACGTACGTGGTTCAAAAGGCACCATACGCACAAAGTGCAAATGTCACATCAGCCTTAAGCCTGCCAAGTGTAAGGAGTATCTTCGGGAGGGCGAGATGGTTTCCTCCACCAGCTAGTCTAGAATCTACCAACTTTCTCTTCGCAGCCACCGAATCCTCTCCTCTCACGTTCGGTTCAGAAAGCAGGGGATGCGGGGCGATGCCAGTGAGGGGAAAAGAACTTCCCGACGGGCCAGCCCTGGACCCGCACCGCCGGAGCCCGCGAGCCCGCGAGCCTTGCGCGGGGCTCCCCGGGGCACCGGAGCCTCCCGGGCAGCCGGCCGAGCCCGGGGTCGCCTCCGACTCCCACAGGCTGACGCGGGAAGGACGCGCAGGGCGGCGTCCCCGAGCCCCGGCCCGCTCCGAGGCCGGGCTCCCCCTCCCCGCCTCCCCTCCGCTCCCCGAGGCCCCCCGTCCCCCGCCGCCCCGCTCGCGCGTACTCACTGGGGGCCGCCGCCCGCGGGCCGCGCCGCCGCCGCCTCGGGCACCGCCTCCATCCCGCCGCGCGGCGCGGCCCTTCTCCGGCCCTGCGGCCTGCGCTCCGGCCGCGCGGTGGGGTGCGGGCCGCCGGCTGCCTGCGGGTCCGCGGGGGGAAGCGGGCGCGGCCCGGGCTGGCAGGCAGCGGCATGGGCTCTGCCAGCGCCGGGAGAGGCCAAGCCCGGCGCGCCCCGGGCCGGCAGCGGAGAGAGGGAGCGCGGAGGGCAGAAAGGCGGAGCAGCGGAAGGGGCTGGAGGAGCGGGGCAGGGCCCCCACCCCGGCCTCCGCCGCCCTCCGCTCCCTCCTGCTCCCGGCGCGGGCGGCCGCGGGCTCCCCTATCCCGGGGAAAGCAGGACGAGCTGGGCCGGGGCGCGGGGAGCGAGGGGACTCGGGGCGCTCGGAGGACCCCGCGGGACCGACCCGCTTCGCGCGGGGCCGGCCCGGCGAGGCTTCGGGGCGCGCGCGGCGTGGGAGCCGGCTGCCGGCGAGCCAAGGCTGGGAAACGCGGCGTTCCTGCCGGCTCCGCGGCGATGCGTGTAACTCTACCCCCGGCGCTGGGGAGGAGGCTCGGCTGTCCGGGTGGAAGCTAAGGAATGCCCTTTGTTTAGACAACTTTTCCAGAGAACTCGGGCCCTTCTCTCCGAGGTGCCCTTGTCTCGGAGGTCAGGGTCATTCGTTTCTGCCTTTCAGAGGCTCGAGGGTACCCGGAGTGGAGGCGGGTTCCCTCATCCTGCCCTGCCAGCGGGAGAGCCTGGTACCTGCCTTGCCAGCCCCAGGGATAGGGACGGGTTCTCAGAGCCCTGGGGACTCCTGAAGGGACTTTGCCACTTTCTCCACACCTGGGAGGAAGTAGCTGCAAAGGGCTTCACCTGCCAACGGAGCTTTCTTTCTCTTTCCACCTAGAGGGAGGTAACGAATCTCACCTGTTTCCAAACATTTGTCAACAAAGGACAGGAAATAGTAAGATAGAGTTTGGACCTAGGAGATTCCAGAAATCTTTGCAAAGGGAAAAGCGCTCGTTCATCATTCCTTCAGCCGGACAAGCTGCTCGCTCAAGTATGGATTGCGCTCCTGTTTGTACTTGTGTGGTCCTGTCACCCTCTAGATGTCGGGCACAGCAACAAGACCACACAATGGGCTAAGTGCCTGAACCGGGGTGGAGGGGATGGATGGTTTCCAGGCGAGTCCTGGCTATTGAGTGAGGAGGCCTTACCCTATAGTAGGTGGGGGCATCAGGGCAAGGCACGAGCCCCCCACCCCAACCCTGCCCCAGAACCGAGAGCAGCTATCTGGGGAGATGGGCTATATTGGCCTTGGGCTGATTTAGGAACCTGAGAGATTATCTAGGGCAAATCCTCTATGTTACAGAACAGGCCCAAGGTCACACAGCTCTCCTGTTGGGTGGTCTCCAAAGTCTGGGGTCAGCGATCTTGCAAGTGAATCCCTACTTCCTTCCATATTCCCAGACCAAGCTGTTCTTCCAGCAGGGCACTTACCGCCATTTATTAGTACGGATCCCTTCGTAACACAGTCATGTGCCATTTATGGAGATTTATGGGGGCACCGTGCACCTGGCATTGGGCTAAGCACTTTATGTTCTTTATCTCATACAGTAACCGTAAAAGATGGGTACTGTTATTGTCTCTTTTCTACAGATTATGAAACTGAGTTAAGTGATCTTCCCAAGATCACGGAGCTCGTAAGTGGTAGGCTTTCTAGCCTTCGAGACCTTCACCTCAACCACACCACAGAGTGTGGCTGGCACTGTGCCTGTGCAAGTTGAGCATGGAAAGAGTCAGCCTGAAAAATCAAAACATTGTCAAGTGCTGTGAGAGCAAAAATACGCTTGCCGCCCTGGTCTAGCCCTTCCGGTCTAGATACTTTCTGCTTTCCTTACTCCTGCAATCCAAGGTAAAGTTCTGGAAACCTGCTAAGACCTCTTCCTCGCATCCATTGGCAATGTCAAACCCAACAACAATATTGCGGAACTTCTACTAAGAGACTCCATATAGGATCCCTTAGATCTTTACAATAATCCCACCAAGTGAGTGTAGTGTATCTCTTTAGAGATAAGGGAATCGGGGTATAGAGAGGTTAAGGGACTTGCCTGAGGCCACACGGCTAGTCTACTCAGAATCTGAATCCAGTCCCGTGGGGCTCCCAGATCTTCTGCCTTCTTTCCTCTTTTCAGAGGCATCTCAGAGCCCAGACTCCAAGAGGTAAGTAACTTCAGGACTCCTATTCCCCACCCCCAGAAGTTAATGATCTGTAAGGCAAGTTTCTGAAAGTTCCAGCAAAAGCTTAATGTTTAAAGGAAACCTGCCCCCCCCCTTTGAGATGCAAATAATCACCTTCAGTTTACTCATTACATTTCTTACTTTACACTTAATATAGGGGGATGGGTTTTTAAACCCTACAGAGGTTTTAAAAGCCATCTACAAGTACCAGGAAGCCTATCCTCAGAAGCTATTAAACTACCACAACAGTCACACGTGGGAAGGTATTTCTCATTCATCTGGATTCTGTTTGGTTCAGCAAACATGCATTGAGTTTCTACTACATGCCAGGCACAGGAAAGGCAAAATATAATACCCACAGGCCCTGTCCTTGAGGAATTTCTGGTCAAGCTGGGCCGGGGAGGGAAACAGAAACTTTCCATGTAAGCTCTCCCCAGTCAGGCTAGCACAGGGTGGTGGTGAAGGTCTGCTGGCAGGAGCAGCTGAGGTGTGTGACTGAGGTGTGTGTTGGGTGGGGAGGGGTATCACGGAGCGCAGCAGGGTCTTGGACAAAGAGCAGGTGCCGGCCAGACAGGGCTGGGGTAGGGGGAGAATTAGCATAAACGCGGGCAGCCGGTGTGAAACTGATTGGTTCCCCTGTTACTACGTGTAAAAGTTACACTGGAGAAGGCAGGGGCAGGCTGGCACTGCAAAGCAGGGGTGACGTGGCCTGCTGGAGGGCATCTGGGGTCCCGGTGAGGGGCTTGGACGCTGTCCTGTGAAGTGGCTGTCCCTGGAAGGTGGGCTACCTCGAGCATGGCCCCTTATGTCCTGTGTATCAGAATCCTTCATTACCATGTTTTGGAGGAACAAAAATACAGGGTAAGTAGCAATCACATAGCCTTCTTCGTCCGTTTGAACAATGAGGGAAACCCACCATCCCAAGAAGCCTCCCTCCACTTAGCTTGGATGGAAACACAGCCTCTCACGCCTCCTCCCCGCCTTCCCTCAACATGCTCTGAACACACAGCTTTGAACGAGGAGCCATGTTGGATGTGGAAATCAAGTTTCACTTAGGATAAAGGGACGGGTGAGAGATGGTCCCTCAGGTCACACCCTTAGAGGTGGGTGGAGTGGGAATGAGGTGGGAGGGCGCCTCTGCCATCCCTCCACTGTATCGCCTGGAGGAGCTGGTCACCCCTGTCTTGGACATGGGGCACATGATCTGAGGAGCACGCAGAGGCCACTGAGCCTGTCGGCTCTTTGGGATGCTGTTCATAGCTCCAGGGTCTGCCCTCAGGCTCTTCCCTTTTCCCTCCAGCAGAGGCTCAAGAGAGCCCTGGGCCCTGCCTCCTCCCTGCTCGCCTCTCCCCTGCTTACTGTCCTGCCACTCGCCAAGGGCCTGTGTGGACGCTCCTGGGACACTGGTGAGAGGCTGAGTCCAAGGCCTGCTCATGGAGATTCCGACTCTCTCGGCTGGAGTAAGGCCCGGAGTCAGCCTTCTAGCGGCCCAAGTGCTTTCAGGCCCAGTCAGGTTGGAGAAGTGTCCTATGTTCAGACTCTAGCCCCTTCGTAAGGCCTGTGGACCTCCGGCTTCAGCTCCCAGCCCGACAGCCCGTCCTGCACGCCTGCCACACAGAACTGCTTCCAGCTCCCCCGACCGGCCTTGCTGATTCTGATCTCTTTGCCTTTCCCAGGCTTTCCTTCAGCCCGAAACACGCTGCTTCCCCTCACATGCAGTTTGGCTGTCTCCAAGGAGACCTTCCGCACAGCTCAAATGGCCCCCCTCAGGGACGTCTTCCCCAGTTCCTTCCACAGGCCTCCTAACCGCTGCGGCCAGACTGTTTATCACACTGATGGACACAGAGCACTTCCTGATCTGGATCTGTGTCCCCGGCCCCTACCACGTGCCTGCTGCATGAAAGGCATTGACTAAATGCCAAGCAGCTCAAAGAAAGAAAGAAAAAGTCCCTATCAAGTAAGGCTGCCTGACAGAAGAAGAGGGGCCACTGCTTGCTACAAGGATCAAGGTCATTTCTGAAGGATTTGGTTCATTCGCTCGACATGGCCAGTCCTGCCTCAGGGTCTGTGAGAAAGTCGGTCCCTGGCAGGGCCAGGCCCAGCACCCAGGCTTCCTAACTGCCTCTGGTTTCCCCCTGACGCCCAGGCCTGCTTGCCATGCCCTTCCTCCCCCTCCCCCAGTGCTCACGCATCACAGACAGTGGAAGGGGCATTAAGCTTCCATTCTGAGCCTGGAAATTGGGAGATAACATAGTTCTCAGAAGAAGAAACAGATGGGGGAGGAGAGAGCAGACAATGAGGCGCTAGCACAGGCGGGGTGGCCGAGGCTCACCTATTCAGGCAACAGGACAGCAGGGCACCTCCAGGGAGCAGCCACCTGGCTATGCATCTCTGCACACTCCAGCACACGGGCGTGCACACGCACGTGCACACACACGCACACACGCTCTCCTATGTCGCGCCTGCCTGAATTGTCCAAGTCCCAAGGAGAAGAGAAGCACGGTTCTTACCTTGCCGGCGTTAGCCTGAACCACTCCCCCAGGCAGCTGGACAGGGAGTCCCCCAGGATGATGGGACAGGGACCTCCTCTGGAGATAAGGACTTCCCTGCCTTTGATGCCCCTCACCCCACCTCTGCCCTCACTCTGCCAGGCATCTGTTCCCATGCCCGAGTCCAAACCACGACTTTTCATTTCATAATCCTAATCACAGGAAGTGACTGGGATTAGGAAACTATTTGAATGCTCTCCCTCCTATTCTACCACGCCTGCTCTGGGGGGGCGGCATCAGCACGAGGAGAGGACACCTGGCTTTCACCTGCCTGTCAGTGATCACTACTATCTGGGCCGAGTCACTTTTCTCACCTGCAGAATGAAAGCAGATTCAGGGAGAAAGGTGCCGGAGCGTGACTGAGACCTGAAGTCATGTTTGTGACAGTTTTCCATCTTGAGAAAAGACAGAAAAGTGCTCAGAAATAGAGTAGTCATTTGCTTAAGACATATGAGAGGCTATGAAGAAATATAGGAGTAGAATCCAGAAAAGCAATAGCCCATTGATGGCAACATTGTTCACAATACAAGGTAACTGAAAATAATCCACATGTTTATCGATAGTAGAAGGGATGATTTAGTGTATTTGTAAAATGGAACATTAGAGATCAACGATATTGAAAAATGGTAACTACATGGAACAACGTGGCCGATTCTTACGGGTTGTAGAGCAAACAGAGCAAGGAAAAGAAACAGATGAAACTAAACCATACATTCTGTAGCGACACATGCCATGCCTATGGGGTCACACTAATGGGGAGCAAGAGAATTATTAACACAGATGATTATATAATGGCCTCCTCGGTGTGGGAACAGAATGGTGGATGACAATTGGGGAGAAGAGTTTCAGAGGCAGAGTAATGTTTTATTGAATTGGGTGGTGAATATATGGATGTTTATTATTCTTTACAATGAACATTATATGTATACACATCTTGTATCATATGTAGAATGTGTGTAATAATATAGTATATATAATGTACATAAACATATTTCATAATTTTTAAAAATATAGAAACTACATTAAAAAAACCCATTTTACTATATATGTCAAAGAAGATCTGGGTGAATGGAGAAATACTTAGTGCTCACAACATTTACTGTATATGATAAAGATGAAAATTTTCATTGAATTTAAAGAGTCAAGTGTGAGTTCAGTCAAGACTCTATATTTAGGCAAGAATATTTAAGAAAAAAATTATAAAAGAAAGGAAAGAAGAAAAGGAGGAGAGGAAGTTTATTCTATAAAATACAGAATTGTATTATAAGTTTATAATAATTAAAATAGAGAGGAATTGATGCCAAAATAAACAGAGTAATGTAATATAATGAATATAGTATATATATAGTATGTATTAGTATATGTACCTACTATACATAGTATATACACATAGTATAAAAATGGATCCTACATTTTCTTTCTCTAATAAAGAACATTTACAAAAAATATATATAACTAATATGATGCTCAGTAGTGAAATATGGGACATTTTTCCTGAGTTTAGAAACAAGGAAAGTCTATCCAGTACAATAGACTATTCTATCCTATCCAGTGTTGTAATGGAATAGTATGATACAACTAGAAAAGGAAAAAAAAGCATAAATCATGAAACAAATAAAATTATTTGCTGATTCTATTATTATAGAAAAATCCAAAGAAACTACAAACTCTTAAAATTAAGAAGTAAATTTAACAAGGCTTCTGGCTACAATATCAATATATAAAAATCTATTGCATTTCTATATACTTAGCAATGAACAAGTTGAAAGTGAGATTTATAAAAAGTACCATGAAGAAAAGCATCAAAAAATATCACTTGCCTAGGAATAAAGTCTGACAAAGATCAATGCAAGACTTTTGCATTGAAAACTACAAAACAGGAATGCCTGGGTGGCTCAGTCAGTTAAATGTCCGACTCTTGATTTTGGCTCTGTTCATGAACTCAGGATCATGAGATCAAGCCCCACGTCAGGCTCCCTGCTCAGTGGGGAGTCTGCTTGTCTCCCTCTCCCTCTGTCTCTCCCCTTGCTCACATACTCTCTCTTCCTTTCTCTAAAATAAGTAAATAAATCTTTAAAAAAAACCCTGCAAAACATTACTGAAATTAAAGATCATGTGAATAAGCGGAGGAATATACCATGTTCATAGATCAGAAAAATTATCGTTAAGATGTCAATTTCTCCTGAATTGTTCAATGTATTTGTTTCAGTTCTATGGAGCTGTGGTAAGGAAGTACCACAAACTGGGGGGCTGACACAACGAAAATGTATTGTCTCACGGTTCTGGAGGCCAGAAGTCCAAAATCGAGGTCTCAGCAGGGCCATGTTCCATCTGAAGGCTCTAGAGAAGGATGTTTCAGGCCTCTCTTCCAGCTCTGGTAGTTGGCTTGTGGCAATTCAACTTCAGTCTTCATGTGGCGTTCTCACTCTGTGCGTG